GATATCTAGATTAAAATATAAATGAATATTAACGAGAAAATAATGATGATATTATAAATATTCACATACATACACTACAACTGCTCGACCAACGCCACACCGTCATATTTATTATTTTCTTTCTTGACATTTTTTCTTGTTTCATGCCATGTACAATAATAACTTTTTTATACTCGTTTTTCGATTGATACACTTTGTCGTACCTCACCTCGCCGTAAGGTCAAATGCCTTCTCAGGATGCGTATTCCAAGATCTTTTGATCAGCCATGCGATTTTGACGAATTGATTAATAAATATGTACCCCATATCGTTTTCATAATAATAAATTTCTAATAAATATTTATTTTTCGGAACAAATTTTTATAAATTAATCTTGCTATTATCAATATAGCGGGTTTTTGATTTGGTATTGTTACACGTTTTTCACTAATCGCGAAATTAGCTAATTAACGTGAACAGGGGAGAGGAAATTGAACAAAAATATGAATAATAAGAGAGATATATCTAAGTCTTATGCCAACTTCTACTGAAATTGTATAGTTTGAAGGGGAATAAAATATAAAGGGTAATAAATAGATAAAATTTTAAATTATATACTAACTATAGTACTTATTATAAATAAATAATATTCTAATTCTCTGTACTAGTATTAATATGTCCAAAGCTAAACAAATAATAAAGACTCTTTCACTTTGTTCTTCACATGAAAAGAGATTATGATATCTTTAAGTGGGGAATTCCAAATAATTCAAATATAACAAAATATCAAAAGATTAGTCAATCAATTCAATAATTTTAAATATTTAAGTGTTAAAAGATCATTATTTTATTATATTATTTATTTTCAAGTTCTAACATGTCAAATTAAAGCTCAATTACAACTTGTATTTTATATTTTTCACAATACTAATATAAAATTTCAAAAACAAGAAAAAAATATAAAAGATAAATATGTTAATTAAAGATAAAATTCTAATTTACTAGAAAATAAATAAATAAATAGATATGTATTTTAGAAGTTTATAATTGGCTAAGCTATATTTATTAGAATAAATAAATAAGTAGAAAAATAGAGATAAAAAATATAAAAGTAAATAAGTAAAATAGTTAATAATATATAAGATAATTAAAGAAGTGTTCTAAATTCTTCACATAATTTTTATAATTTTGTACAAATTATGAAATTAACAATTTTTATAATATAAACAAATCTTTCTAAATGCACATTTCTTGAAATTATAATAAAACATGCATTTATAGAGAGTAAAATATATAGAATTCTTATAAGTTTAAATCTAATTATGCTATATATTTAGAGAGAGTATGTACTTATAAATAAAATTCTGAAAAAAAGTCTGATTCAGTTCAAGTTTGATTTAGTTTGAGCTTGAACTAGATTTAGATCTGATCAAAAGTCTAGTTTGAAAATTCAAATCCAATTAAAAGTCTGATTCAAGTTCAGTTTGAATTTTAAATCAAACTCAAATCTAATTAAAAGTTCAGCTTGAGTTCAAGTAAATGTTCAATAAGCTTTTATATAAAGTTAAAAATTAGAATTAGAGCTAAAAATTGATATAAGATAAATAATATTGAAAATAGATATTCAAAAGTTTAAAAAATATTTTTGATTTTTATGATTTTAATTCACTTTAGTTATTCTATAATAAATATTTTATTTTATTATAGTAATTATAAACTATAATTATAAGCAAAATTGTAACCAAAAATAAGAGTTACAATTTGATATAAAATAATTACTATTTAAAGAAATATATAGAATTTACAATAAAATTAAATAATTTAAAAATAAAAATAATTTAGTTATTTCTAAGTAAACTTTTAATTCTTACTAAATATTATAATTAGTACTTATAATTAAAAGTATTAAAATTGTAGCTCTTATTTAAAATTACAAATCAATATATACTGATTTCTGATTAAACTCAAACCAGACTTGAACTTATATAATAATTAAATTCAAGTTTAGTTCAAACTTTGAACTTTTTTTGAACTCAAACCAAAATCCAGTTTGAGTTCAGTTCAAATTTTGAACCAGACTCAAAAAGTTCAGTCCAGTTCAGTTTATAGAAATACTACTTATAGAGGGTGTATTTAGGAAGGTTTGTCTATATAATTGTAACAGTATATTATCAGAAATAACTGAAATAATAAATCTAGACTAACAATTGGTGATGAATTTTGAATGAAGGAAGCTGTATAATAAATTATTATATTAATTGTGTTACTCACCAACAACACCATTGCATTCAGTTTTTAGCCTTTAACAGTTTCTTCTGGCAAAGTTATACCATTCTTCCTAAATGTTTATATCCAGTGTAAGGTTTAGGTTTATAAAATTAATTTAGGAATTTATTTTGCATCAAGCTATGTGTTGTTGAAAAAGCACACGCATGTTGACTTTTACTCTTTTTAGTCAACACGCCCACATCTTTTCTGAATTTTTCTTGCGATTTATTCGCGCGTTCGCAACTCGCTTGGCTTGATTTAGATTTAAAATAATTTTGAAACCATGTCCTATAAGGCTGAAAACTCGGGGAAGCAGCTGCAAGAAGGAAAGCTTAAACGGAGGCAGAAGAAGACGTGGGAGGTTTATCAAATATGAAAAAGATAATATTCTTTTTAAACTATTTCTTACTAAGCAAATGAATGTGATTGCGCGCTGCGAGTTTTAGCATGATCATTTTTCTTTTTTCACGTATATTTTGAAGTGCACAGACTTTTTGAGTGGTTTACTATTTTTATAATATTCCTGTTTTTGTATTTTTTGCTTTGGTTCGGACCTTGGCTCTTTCTCAAGTCAAACCAGTTTCGACTAGATTTCAAAAAGAAAGGTGAATCTGCTACTTCAAGGAAAAGTCAGTCAAGAAAGACAATAATTAAGAGGACTTTGTTATAGTAAGGATTTTTTTAATATTATATGATTACTATTGTTTACATTTTAAATAGAAGGAGACATACCATCAGAAGACCAAGCTGATTCCGAAGAGCAACTTTATTCTGATGTTGCTGAGGAGTCCGAAGATTCCGATACAGCCGCTGAGTCAAAATATTAAATAAAAAAAGTATATCTATTTATGCATTCAATTAATATATTCTGATTTATGCAATTGATATTAATTAAAAAGGCAAAGAAAACTGCCCCCAAATCTAAATCAACAAAACTAGCGAGCAAAAAAGAAAGTTCTCAGAAGAAAACACTGATGACGATGACGAAGATACAAAGTCTTAGGAAAAAGAAAATAAATAATGATTCAGATAGATATCCCGACGGCGATAATAATTTAGCTTTAACTCTTTCTTAGACACAAGAAATGATAATACAGGCAACTCTCGAGATACCGATGTAAACGATCTTTACGCCACAAAAAAGGCAATTCTACTAGTCAAATTATGACAACAATCATGTGGTTTTGTTTAACGTTAAGAAATTAATCAAGACTTGTTTGCTGAAAACGAACTCTTTCTTAGCCATTGGACTTTATGGTTGTTGTCGGGTGCTTTAATGGCTTGACTAGAGCTGCCTTTGTCTTTTTGTCTGAGCCTTTTCACATAGTTTCACGTGTATTTCCAAAAAGACAAAGAACATCGGGACGCAATCACAACCAAAAAAAGACAAAACTTCTTGAAATAATAACCCATTAGCTCATTCGACAACATAATCGAATTCGAGATTATTTATTCGAGATTATTTTAACTAACTATCCATATTTAGCGCTTTTAACGACATAAGGTTAAATGCGTGAGCTTCGGATCAACGGGACCAAAGATAGGAATCTGATCATAGGACTTCTTCAATGCCAATATTACATTACGACATATTATAACATGACGGTATATTGCTGTAGTACCGTAATTGAACCTTCGATTTTTATTAATGGTTGCAAAACGGGGTTTAGTGTATAAAAACTTTACCCGGATATCCGTATCCTTTTGAAATCGGGTTAAATGTTAAGCAAGATTTCAACAAAACTGGGTGAACATCAAAAAGGTCCGGCCAGAATTATTTTTGTATTTTTTGGTAACTATTTTTTAGTTTTAGATACCGTATATCTCCGAAAATAGGCAATCCCCGAATATAAGCAACTCTCCCCCATTTTGAAAATAAACCATGGGTATCGAATATAAGCAACCCCCTTTAGTTTCAATTAGATATTTTATTACAATTCAATATATTATCTATTCTAGATACACAAATCACTTTATACTTGAATATAAACAACTTCTCCCCTCCCTTGCTTATTTTCGGAGATATGCGGTACTCGAAATAGAAAAGAATCCTACCTTGCACATGTTTTTTCCATGTGTTGATGACATTTTTCAGAGGACAGGTTGTAGCAGCCGCTCGCGAAGCTTCTGGAAGCAATACGTTATTCTAGCCTCCACAAAATCTCGATCACCTGCACCGTCTATTCTCACAGAACTCGAACAATACGTGCAAGTGGCTTGGAAGGATCTTGCACTCGAATACTATCGAAAGCTTATTTATAGTATGCCCGATCGAATTGTCACGGTTATTGCAAATGGATATCATACAAAGCATTAATACTAGTACAGCTTAGAAACTGATATTTAAACTTTATTTTTTGTTTACAATCCTGTTTTTGAGTTGTCAAATTTAATGGTTTGTAAGTGGCCGGATCTTTATATGACCCACTGTATAATGTCGGCGAATATATGGGTAGCAAACAAGCAAATTATATTAAATCGAGTACCCGGTTTTAACTCGGTTCTAATCTCTACACATGCTGCAACCTCCGTAATGTCGTTACATTAAGTAGCAAAGAAGTATTATTATGTACGTCCCATATTTATCTTTTTTTCGGACGTGTTTCGCGATTTTTAACTCGACAAATATGATCTTCACGCGTGAATGACTACCTTTTTTTTTTTAGTGATAGTGGCTTTGTGTTTGACTAATACAACATCAGGATTATTATAACTTGGGGGTGATTTTATTTAATAAAAAAAACAAATTTAAATTAAAATATCATGTCGTCGATGTCGTATGGATCATGATTTAACTTGTTATATAACTCGTTGAATTGTTCGTCCTTCATTTTTTCGAAACTTGAGATCGAAATTAATTTTCTATTACGACCGAAGCTCGCCGCGAACTCATCTAATGGGACTATTCGCGTGATCATGTAAATTCTCTCTGCGAACTTGAACCAAGACCGTAGTTCGCTCATCAAACTTCTATCATTTTCATTGTTATTGAAAATGCGACCCGGTTTCTTCAACTCGCCGAGGAGTGATGCAATAAAATAACATACATTCAACGAGAATGATTGCTTCGCTACCTCTAATGTCTCATAAATTTTAATTAGATTGATGAATGTATCTTTTGCTTGATTGAATCCTTTTCTTTTCAGTTCGAGTAATAAATTTAATGATTCTATCGCTTGATCGAATCCATTTACTGTCGGTTCATATTTGTAAATCTGTGTATTTTCAACAACTTTAATTTCTTTTAATAGGTTAAATATTTTATCGACATCAATTATTCTTTTCTTTGTCTGAGGAGTCCCCGTGTTATCAACTTCTCGCTTTTTTGCATGCATTAGATATAAAGTTAAATAAAAATTTAATATGTGTGTTAAATAGATTTTTTTGATTAAAGTCATATTTCATACTTTAGAGTTTTCTGGCGTGCCAAGAAATGAATTTTCCTAAAACACATTAGGCATAAATTAGCGCTTAAATTGAAATAAAAATCGAGTATAAAACTAAATTATACTTTTCTCTTATTCCACATAACAAAGGTTAATCCGTCTTTTTGATCTTTAGCGTTAGTAGCAGTAGCGGTAGTCGGTGTGGCATTAGAAGTTCCATCAACATCTATGGCTTCTGGTGATGATGGTGTATCCGATGTGGAGGGATTTTCTTTGGGTCGATTTCCTAGTTGTTCCCGCAGTTTTTGGTTTTCGGCTTCTAACTTATGAATTCTTTCTTGTAATTCTTCAATTTTTGTTGTGGTTTTTGTCTTCGAGTGTTTTTTCCAATACTCCTCAATTAATTCTTTTGCATAACTTGTTAATATGAAGGATCATTAAGTAATACTTTCATGACACGCGTGTTTTGCAATTGCACCAAAACTTACACGTCTTCCTCGTTTACCCACACTTCCCATTTTAGAAGATATTGCAACTTGCCCTACATTCAAAAAACCAACCATTATGAAACACGCTATCAAATTAATCAACAAAGCAAGAAATTAATACTTAATTTATGACCCAGAATATTTTCCACAGCATATTCCTCCATGTCGTCGTTAACCTCTATCGCAGGTCGGTTTGCCGATTCAGAATTGCCGCCCCCGTTACTGTTTTCGTCATCAACGTCCATGTTGAATTTCAGCTACCATAGGATGAATGGTAAGTGACTTATTTATATTGGCATACTCTGAGCATACATAGCGATAGTGAGAGATAAGGCACCCTAATTTGGAAAAAACTACGTATCAGATTGGCCAAGGTATGAACCCATGATTTGTTATTTTTGTACATGTATATTGTTGACAAAGACATCGGGACCAAAAAAGGCAATATGCCTTGCATTTGAACTTGTGCAAACCTTTTAGATGTTGACAGTCCTTTTAGGTCAATTTTTCATGTGATAATTCATACTTATTAGTATAATGGTCTGCATTTAAAAATAAAAACGGTAATGGTAATGGTAATGGTTTGTTTTCCATCAGAGAATCTATGCAGAATAGCTATCGCTATATTTAGTTTCATTCAGCTGAACCAACTTAAAAAAGATTAGCTTCTAGTATTATTTTCCGAAGTTTGGTTATAATAATTCTCTTATGCTGGCCAGGGAAGTATTTACTTTTCTCAAATTAAATACCTTGAACAAAAATCTTATTTCTTTTCAAATTTCTATTCTATTCCTAGGGTAATTACATTCGTTTTGGTCTCCATTCATTCTTATAACAAAAGAACGTTTTCTTATCGATCACAAGCCACGTTCTGCTATCTCTAATATTCACACCATAGACATTAACATAGCAACGCGTTACAACGACACCGTGCTAGTATCCAATCATCCATCGATTATGACGAAATCGCTCGTTATTAATGATACAGTTCGCTAACATCCAAACCACGTCGCGTTCGGTATATTCACCATCATCATCACCTCTCAACTCAATATATCCAGTTGGAAGTTTAATTCTTCCGTTTTGCATCTTAGCCTCTCTCATAAAACTCGCTCGCGTAAATATCGTTTACTCTCATTCGCACACCATTTCCTGGATACTCGTCGCCATTCTTCGCGACGAACTTATAATCTGATATTTTTTCTCTTTTGTTATTAACAGATTTTATAATGTGAATTTCGTTGGAAGTCTCTGCAAAAAAAAAAAAAAACGACGAGTTAAATGTATAAACACCCAAAATACCCATTCTATACTACTGTACTGTATATTTGAATTCGTTAATTTTTCAATGAAGGGTTCAGTTACCCAATGGTTTAATCTCACGAGGATCTCTGGATGCAGGATATCTTAGAGTCGCTCGAGAAAAATATTGTGTTCATCACTTGGTCGCATTAGCATTTTGTCCCAAAGAAGAATATGTAAATCATATTGACGGCAACTCTACTAACAATAATGCATCCAATCTTGAATGGTGTTCACAGAAAGAAAATATACAACATGCCATACGTCTCGGCTTCAGCGTCAACGTGCTGTCAAGCAGACTTTTGATGATGACACTATTCGAGAATTTCCATCCTTAGCTAAAGCATAACGTGTCACTAGAATTCAAAGCTTAAATATCTAGAGGGTATCGTTGGCAATGCGTGAATGCATGACACATGATAAAGACATCCACCATGCGAAATTTTGATTGCATAAAAAGTTATAAAATTTCGGGCCTTAGCCCGTGATACACGATGAAATTTTTCATTTATTTTTTCTTGCACGCTTCTTAGTTGCAGGTTCATTACTAGCAGATACCCTATCGCTTCTAAAATTCTTTTCACACTATTACGCAATTCAGTTGAGTCTTGAGTGCATCTTTGGTTAGCAAAATTCGATATTCTATCTTGCACATACTGTAGATGCTTTTCATCTACGACGTCAAAAACGAAACGCGTTATCACGTGAGTTGTGTGATGCATTTATATTACACATGACTCATGAACTGTGAACTGCTATACACATGTAAAACAAATACACTAACCTTAAATGACGCTCGTTTTAAGGTTTTGTTTGCTACAGTATTTATATTAAAAATACAAGTAGGAAATAACTGCCATTATTCTTTAACTTAGAACACTGTGACCTTTAAAAATAACATAAACTAAACAGACAAAGTAGATAAAACTCAACGAAATGTTTATGCTGGTTATCGATCATATAGTGAAAAAATTACGAAATTTTTGTAACAATATCATCACACGTTTACAGTGTGGATATATTATATTGGCTTAGTAGGAAAACCACCCACGATACATACGTAACAATTGGTGTGTTTAGGTGGACGCAGTAATTGAATGTGATAATTTGATTATTTTTAGATGTACATTCTAATTTATCAGTACACGTACCAATGTATTAATACTATGTCCGAGCAGGCGGAGAAAATCTGGTGGAAAAAAAATTCTTGACAATGCAAATAACGCAATTTCCATTTATATTTGCCCGATTTACCAATTTAGGGCGGATGTTGCTTCTGCAAAAAGTCTAGCAGTTATTTGGTATTGTTTGTTGATTTCTATCAACGGACGTATTCTTCCGTTACAAAAGGAAAAGAAAGTATCGCTGAGAAAGACGTAAAAAGATGATGAATGGGTCAGTTAGTGGAAAGGTTGGGGGAAAAAGTGAATTAATCATAGGTGAAAACTTGTTATATTATAATTTAGCATTACACTTAGAGTGGGGTTAGAAAAATATCAGGCAAGGACACGGATTTTTTGTGATTGCTAAAAAATAAAACGCAACTACTTGTCTCGCTAAATATTACACGTGGACATAAAATGATTGGTATTTGTCATCGTATTGTCACATGTTGTTCTTGTATAGAATAAAACGTGAAAATAGAAAGATGTCGATATCAGTCCAAAACGGGTGACGACTTTATAAAGGATGGTAGCAAACTAATGGTGCTCGTAAAATGAACAAAACCGCAGCAGTCCAAATTGCTCGCAATAGAAATATAGACCTCCGAATCCAGGAAAAATGCGGTTACCTCATATTTGTCAAAGCAATTTACATGTATATCAAAGCAAATCGAAAGTTTCATTTTATATAAATTGTATCGCAAAAATTTTCATGTTCCAATAACACCAATCTTCTAATTAGGGTGGATTTACCATTATAATAAAATTATGTGATTCCTGTACTCTCCCTTATATATCGGTTTTTGAAATACTGGATTTTAAAATTGCTCAAAGGTCAATTTAAAATATGTGCAGAGATTTGTTTCACTCGTGAAAACAAAACCAGTGAAAATGACAAATGAACATTTGTCACTATTTCGACATGACAATAAAAAAAGCATTGAGAACAAATGGAATCAATTAAAGCTCAATAAGTATTAGAGGAACAAGTCCCAAGCTCATTGTTTTACTTAAGTCAAAAAGAGTCTAGTTCTTTATTCTGGAGTTCAAACTTTTTTAGTTCAAATATCATGTGACTTCCCTGCTATTTTGTTATATGTAGTTGAAAACGAGAATCGAAACCTCTGATTTACATGTATTGACAGTGATAATAACTCCTATTTCCATACATTTTTTGTTGTTTGGTATAGCTGATGAGGAGTCTGTACGAACTTCGCTAATCAGCATAACATCCACGTGAGCAACCAGAAATAAATAAGAAGAGGGATTTGAGATGGAAGAGAAGTTGTTAAGATTTGGTAAATTAAAATTGTAAGTAGAAGATGTAGCGGTAGATGTATTTGATTAATATCAGTATCTTTGGTGACTGGCAGCAGCACATAGAAAAAGTCGTACACAAGCTGTTTCACAGGAACTCCATGAACGTATTACATGTACATGTATATAAAACATTAAATAGTTAACGTTAATTTGAGCCAATTGTAGCCGTCTCATACTTAAACTATACAGTATTTAATAGATCTCATTTTCTTATGAATTCAGTGATTTTAGTTTGTAAAATAAAGCAACGTATTTTATATACAGTCGTGGCCAAAAGTATCCGACCCCCCCCCCCCAACTTTCCGTAAATCATGTGTAATGCACCAAATTTTTCCGAGCCCAAAGAACATTACAAATGCTGATTGTATGTTCATAAATTTTCATGCCCCAAATACAATAAATCGGTCATTTTAGGACATAATATATCGACGTCTAGTGGTTAAATTTGAGTGAAAATACCACCATTCGGTTTGTCTAATTTGGCAATCAAATGGTGGCATTTTCACTCAAATTTAATCACTAGAATGAGATACCGATACATGTATTATGTCCTAGCGCTAGTGACCGATTCATATTTGGCGATCAATTTTTCATTAGAAATGATCGCCAAAAAAAATGAATCGGTCACACATGTAACGGAACACGAAAATTAATTTTCGTGTTCCGTTACATGTGTGAGCCACTGTCTTTAAAATTATTAATCGATTCCTATCACTAGACAGTCGGATACTTATGACAGCTATTGTACAAACCGAATTCAGTTTTATTTGAAATACATAATTTGTTTGAATTTTAGAATGATACTTTATTCTTCACTCTATTTATGTGCAGGTTTGCTTATTCTTTAGAGCTATACTTGATAGATTAAAATAGAATATTCATTTTTACAAAATGAATAGCGATATCATTAATGTTAACGTTAATCTATATCTAATATTATAATTTATTAATATTCAAAATTTGTTAATAATTTCTTAATAAATAAATCAAATATTTTGAATTTATATCAAATATTATAATTTTACAATTAATTAAATATTCAAAAATAATTAAAAAAGAAAATATTGCTTTACCAATAAAAAACAAAATAATAAAAAAATAATACAAATTATTAAAATTAAAAAGTTTAAATTTGTAAACTTATTTCTGTTGATAGAATTAGTATTTATAATTTCTTTTAATAAAAGATTAAAAGTAATAATTACAAACAAAATATAATTTTTTTTTAAAAAAACAAAATAATTCAATATTATTAAGTTAGAAAATTATATTCTTGATTATCAAAATATTAAAATTGACTTCAAAAAATTTAATAATAATAAACTTAAATTAAAGTTTTATAAATAATTATATATAATGGTACATAAAATATATAGACTTTTTTAAATTAAAAATTTTATAAAACAAAATTTTCTAAATAAGAAATAATTATTATATTAATAACAGCAATTTTTAATTTGAAAAAGTTATAGATTTCAAAAATAATCAAAAACAGAAATATTATTATTATATTTAACAAAAATTTATAATTTTTATATTTATATTTATGGATCAATAATAATTATAATAATTTTCACTTTTATTTTTATTTTATATATTATTATATAATATTATTTAATATAAATCTCATAAAATTTCTTTTTAATTAACAAAATTAAAATAATCATTAATAAATCATATTTTTATAAATTTTTTAATTTATTTTATTTTAACTTGCATTTTTCATCAAAGTTTATTAATTATATAGTTAAAGTTCGATAAGCTGAAGACCTCAGATTATTTAAAAATAAACTTCGCTTAACGTTATAAAGTACTATTTATATTATTCTTCATTTTATCATGCTCTTTGTAATAGGTTAGTTCCTGAAAATTCTTTGTTTTAACGTGAGTTCACTTTATCGGGAGTTCGCTTTATCGAACTTTAACTATACTATTAATATATTTTATATTTATATTTCTAATAAGAATATTCTTAATTTTTATTTTATTATATTTATCCAATTATATTTCAATTGTACCGGAACTCTTAAATCGACAATATGTTTCAATTTTAAAATGCTATTACTCGATATGAAGGCAAAATTTTCAAAATTTGACTGGTAACTTTGTAGAACTTATTATAAAGAACATCAGATTTCAAAAATTTTCTTTTTATATCGAGTAGTAGCATTTAAAATTATCGATTTAAAAGTTCTGGTACCATTTTATTTTTACTTTTCTTTTGTATTTTCATTTTATTTTCAATATTAATTTTTCTTATAAATATATTTAGTTATTAATTATATTATAATTTTATAAAATTTAATAATTAATAATAATTACACTTTTTTTAAAAATTATTTGAAATTTTTTTAATTAATTTATTATATTAAAAATTATAAATATATTTTAAAGTATTTAATTCTAAAAAAATTAAAAAAATATTAGATAATAAATTAATTTAATTATATTAATACTAGCTTTAAAAAAATTAAAAATTTAAATAAAGCTTAAACCTTAGTAATTAAATAACAAATATATATTATATTACTATAATTTATATGAAATAATATATTTAATAACTTATATCAAAATTTTTAAAGTAATTTTATAAATATAATATAAATATTATTATAAATTTATTTAAATTAGCTAATAAACTTTGAATAAAAATTAAAAAGAATAAAAACAAAAAAAATTAAATAATAATAAAAAAATTATCTAAATTTATATTAATTTTTACTAAAATTATTATAATTCAAAAAAAATAAAAGTGTAAAAGAATTATAAAAAAATAAAAATTAAAAAAAGAATAAATTATTATTTTTAAACTTAAATATTCTAATTAATAATAATAAAAATACTTTTATTTTATTTTTTTAGAATAAAAAATATTAAATTTCAAAAATAATAAATACAAAATTCAAAATTGAAATATTAAATAAAAATAAAAATATTTATTTAAATTCAAAATTTTAAAATTTTAATAATAGTACTTATCTATATAGTGACAATTAATAATAATGAAATAACATTAAAATTTATTATTTAAATATATTAAATATAGATTTTTTACTTTATATAAAAATTTTTAATTTTATTAATAAATATTTTTTAATTTTATATTAAAATAGAAATAAAATTATATATTTTAATATATATTATTTATTTTAATTTGTTCAAATTGTTTTAATTATATATAAAATTAATTATTTTTTATTTGTTTAATTATAAAAAAATAATTGATTTATATGTAATTATAATAACATAATCAATTAAATCTAAAAAATATATGTTAAAATATGTAATATTATTTTTATTTTAATATAAAATTAAAACTTTTATATAAAGAGAAAAAATCTGCATTTTAATATTTTTAATTAATAAATTTTAATATTGTTGTATTATTATTAATTAATATTATAAGTTTAAATATATAAATTAAAATAAATATAACAAAGTATTTAATAATAAAGATTTTAATTTATTATATTTTTTCAAATTCTCAAATATAATATATCAAGTCAAAATTAAAATACTATTTTAATTATATATTTTTTGTAAATATAAATTTTTATTATTATACTAGCTAAAATATAAAAATTTTAAATAAAGTTATAATTAAAATTATAAAAAATAAATAAAATTATAAAAAAATTATAAAAAATAAAATAAAATTATAAAAAATTATAAAAAATAAATAAAATTATAAAAGAATTTATAAAAGATATTTAATAAATTTTTTTTCGTTAATTTTTTTATTTTTTTGATTATTTTTAGAATTTTTTTGTTTTTAACTATTTGAAATTTGTGACTTTTTGTGAATTAAAAAATTATTGTTATACTTATTATTATATATAATATATTATAAAATACAAATTAAAAATTAATATAATAGAATTGAATATATTATATAATTTATTAAAATAATATATATATATAAGTTTAAATATAATAAAAATTAAACAATATTCTTTTAATAAATAAGTTTATCAAAAATTTTTAGTATTAAATTATTTTTTAAAATATAATCATATTTGAATTATATTTTTTTTTGGTTTATATTTTTTTTATTTAAAATTTTATTTATATTTTTATAATTAATTTTCTTTTTATTTAGTATATAAAATCTAAAAGTATTAAAATTTGAATTTTATTAAATAAATAAACTTTTTTACTAAAAAATAAAAAAATTTAATTTATAAATATAATAAAAAATTTTTATATATTTAGATATATTTTATTGTTGGTTATATTTTACAAAAATTTAAAAATTATATATAAATAAAAGAAATAATATAATTTATATATTAATATAATGTTATAAGTTTATTTACTAATCATTAAATTAGCTTATAAACTTGAATCTGAATTAAGAAAGAGTAATAAACTGATAAAAATATTAAAGAAAAAAAGAGATATCTAAAGTTTATATCAATTTTTATAGAAATTATATTTTCTTAAAAAGAAATAATATAATATGAAAAAGTTATAGAAGAGTAAAAATCAAAGAGATGAGAGTATATAAGAGAATAAAGAGATAAAAAAAGAGATTTAAAAGACTAATTTTCTGTACTTGCATAAAGCTTTCCAGAACTAAGATAATACTATTAGTAATAATAATAATAAAGATTCTTTAATTTTATTCTTTTTATAAATGAGAAATATTCATTAACAATTAAAAATTCAAATAACAAAAATTAAAAGATTTAATATTTACTTTCAGTAATTCTAATATAATAATTTGTTTAGTACAATATAATCTAATCTAATAATAATAATTTGTTTAGAACAATATAATATAAAGTCCAAAGTCAATAACAGTAATTTGCTTAGTATAATATAATATAAAATTATTAGTAATTTATTAGATACAATATAATATAAAATTACTTATATATAAATTTTGCAATGTATAAAGAAAATATGAGAGATGAGAAATATTTGAAAGAAGATTTTTATTAAAAGTGATTTTATTTTCAATTACAACATGTTGAGTATTTAGATAGCATCTCTATTTATACATTTTTTGATAATATAATTTCAAATAATAATTATTATTTAATCAATAATAAAATAATAGAAAGAATAAAGAAAAATAACAAATGATAAAATAAATAATAAAAAAATAATAAATAATAAAAAGTGATAAAAAATAATAAAAAATAATTAAATTAAAGAAAAATAATAAAAAATGATGAAAAAATAATAAATAATAATGAAGAATAATAAATAATAATAAATAATAATAATAGAGAATAATCAAATTAATAAAAGTTAATAAATAATAATAAAAAATAATAAAATATGATAAAAAATGATAAATATGATGAAAAGTAATAAAAAATAATAAAAAATAATAAAAAATAATAAAAAATAATAAAAAATGATGAAAATAATAAAATGTAATGAAAAATAGTAATAAAATAAATAATTAATGAATTATTTTTTTGTTATTCTTAGAGTTTACTATTTTTAGAAATTTTTAATATTTTCAATTATTTTTAAAATTTAGAATTTTCTTGAATTTATAAAATTACTATTATTATTATAACAATAATATTAATTTTTACTATATATAAATTAAAAATTATTTAAATAACTTATTATTAAATTTCTTGAATTTTAAAGATTTTTAATTAAATAATAAATATGATATATATATATATATACATATATTTATTTATTTAATATAATTGATTAAATATAAAAAATACAAAATAATTTATGTTTAAAGTAATAATTATAATTAATATAACAAAAAATAAATTTTCATTAAATCAAAATATTTTGTGAAAATTAAAAGATATTTTTTTATTTTTTGATAATTTGTTTATTAATAGTAATTATTTTATAAATTAAAATTTTAATATTTATTATTATTTTTAATTTAAAATTAATACAAAATAAGTATTGTATTATTTATTATTGTTTTATATAAAAATCAAATAGTTATAGTAATATTATATAAAAAATAATTATAAGAAGTATTATTTATATATAATAACTTTTTGATTAAAAAAACTATAATGTAATAATATCAGAAAAACAAATACAAATACTTCTTTCTCTTCAAAATAAATATACTATAAAACAAATAGCAAAATCAAGAAATATCAATTTATTAACAGTTTCTTATATTAATAAAAAATAGTACAAATAATATTTTCTTAAAGATATAGTAAAGTTTGATCAATTATTTATTATAAATAAATTAATAAAAAAAGTATTAATCTTATTGTTTTTTAAAGATGTTTGTCTATAGTAAAAATATATATAAGAAAAAGAAAATATTAATACATCAGCGCCTATTATTTGTTGTATATTATGAGAGAATGATTTAGTATTAGAAATAAAAAAGCTCCATCTGAGTAAAAAACACCAAATGAAATAATTATTAGCATTTGTATAAAATTATGAAAATTGAATCATTGAAGATTATTTGATCTAAAAAGTCCAAATTTAAATTTTAGTTCAGATAAAAGCAATATTATATTACTGAAAATATTTGGATAAATTATTAAATCAATTTCACATTATATTTTGGAATATTAGTGGCTTTTGTAAGATTAATTATATAATAAATGCTTAATTAGATTAACAAATACTTTATGAGAATTTTATAAATACTTTAGAGATCACAGATTTATTGTTAAAACTATTATTTTCCAACAAGATTAAGATCCTAAACAAATTTTGGATAAGGAGGACTTGTAAAACAAGATATAACAAATTGGACAAGAAATTGATGTTGATACATGTATCAACTTGATTTACTCTATGTCAAAAGAGTTCTTGATATAATAAAGGCACAAGGTGACTATAAATTCTATCTAATATATATTTAAATAAAAAAATTAGTATTTTAGTTTAGTTTTATATGTCGTATTTGAGTTGTGTTCAAAAAAAATAATGCAACAGTACTTATCAAATAAACATATAATTTGCGGAATAATTGACTTATGAATACATATTTAATTTTTAATATCTAAAAATGATACTATTAATGAATAAACTCATAAAAAAGGATATCGTTGAACTTGCATGAAATATTTCGATTCAATGAAAATTTTTTTGTTGCATTAATTATGATCGTCACTGTATAAGAAATTGTTTTATTTGAATTTTTCTTGTTCTTGTTAATAACACAAATTAGAGATGATTATAAATTGTTTTTTTGAAAAAAGTAATTCAAATTTATATTTTTATAAGTAAAATCTTGCTATATCGAGACGAGAATTTATTATTAACCTACTACATTAAACAGAATTATTAGAGATAATTTAATTTTATTATATTATTAAATTAAATTTGACTATTTTGAAAAGCATTTCAGTTTTGACTATGATTAAATAATAATAATTTTTATTTTTAATGTAAATTGCTCTCTTATCAATTTTTGAAAAAAGTGGATACCAAACAATTTTTAAATGACGTTATTATTTTAAAATAATGATAATATAGTCAGAAAGATGCAAAGATTACTGGAAATGTAATAGTTAGTAAGAAATGGAAAAAAAAAACACTTTAAAATATGACATTAATAACAGAATTGATAATTTGTAAATAAATAATTGTTTTTTATTACATGAAATAAATTAGCATGTGTGTGTATGATAAAGACGAACAGAATCATATAATAAAATGAGACTCTTGATCAATCTTTGCTTATATTATAATGAAATGAATAAAAAGATAAGTACAAGTATACAAATAATGGAAATTTCCAATAGTGTTTTATACAGGCGTCATTTGAGAAGAAATCACTGTTGAAATAGTGCAAAAATCCTTTATAAAATACAGTATTTCAAATGAAATGGATGGAACCTGATTTGGAAAAAGATATGGAAATTGGAAATTGCGAAACAGGAAAACTACTTTATAGATAAATCAACGGGAATATAAGTTAAGGATGTGAATATAGTATTCAAATAGAAGATTTAGATAGTGCATATTTTTCTCGATCTAAATTTTGGTGGTGTTTATCGTTATTCACGATTTTGATACTTTTTCATTCTCGGTACATATAGTAATGGACCTAAAATAAAAAAAAAACATGAAACAAAATTTGTATTTATTATTTGGATCGTTTTGACCTATTGAAACACATACGTACACATACATGTACATATAAATGAAATATTTTATAATTTTGAAAATATTTTTTTACTATGTACGTACCGGTACGTCTTTTTAATAAAAAAAAGTTACGTACTGTACTCCATAACGATTTGCATGTACATACATGTAACAATTTTACTAGGCTTGAGAGCTTACCGTTTTAACTTTTAATACCAATCTTTAGTGAGAAATCTAAAACATACATATTCCTTTAAATATTAACAAAAGGATAAAATCATCAATACAAAATTTGTAAATAAAATGTTTCAGGACTGACAAACTCCACTAAGCAATATACATAGATTACTTTTCTTATATAAAATTATAAAATAACTGGCGATATTTATTTAGAAGCAATAAGTTTAAAATTGCTCCACAGCCAATAACATTAACATGTCGTGCGCTCAGTAATTAAACATAAATATCACGAACGGTTCCTTTTCCTGCTTCATAACAAACACCGAAACAATAAAACGTACTGACTTTCAATCTTCAATCGCTCATTCCGGTCTCCAACCTTAAAACTTGTCATAATATTTGCCGACTCGTATTTGAGCAAATGTGTGCTAACTTTCTGCCGTATCTATGAAATGTTCGCGCACTTATTTTCCATTTGTCCGGCTCGATTATTGTTATCGGCGGCTTGCTGATACCAATAGACAACTTTTCTGGATCTTTCTGTGGCCCAATTCCGAGATCATAGCATTGTTGCTCATGTTTATTTTTTTTGCTGAATTATCCATAATTCTATGATGACTTTTAAAAGGCTGATGATAAATCCCGTTTCCTAAAACATCAATTTTTTGACAATCGATCGATATATTAATGTTGATTTAGGGAAGAAAAAGGTAATTTAACAATCTAAATTGGGGGTCATACAGTATTACTTTTTGGGAAAATTTTTCTTTCATAACTGGCTATATAATAAGAACAACTATCTAAAGGCGCAAGAAGATTTTGACAGTCGAAATATTTGATGATTAATTAATACCGATACACCTATTGAAGATCTACAAATGTAAGAAATAGATTAATAAATAACAACCCTCAACCCTTTTTTCAAAGATTTGGATTTTGTAATGTCTAACTGGTAGATGTATATCAACACTAATAAATATCTGGCGTTTCAATATATTAAAAGTTTGCTAGCTTTATAGTACTACTTAATTTAAAGTATTCTCATCTGTAAAAACTTGGTCACTTGATTTAATCTCAATGTCACTCTTTTAGTAATAAGAATTTTGATGTATAACATCTAGAGTCATCAAACATTTGTATTTTATAAAATGGATAAACTTCTTTACTGAGAAGTAAATACAAAATTTAATCCGTGAGTATGCTCAGAAAGGGCCTATTCTATCATATTCACGGATTAAATTTTGCATTTACTTCTCAGTACAGAAGTTTATCCATTTATAAAATATGACTCTAGATGTTATGCACCATAGTATCATGAATCTTGAATTATTCATTTAGTAAAAAATCGAATTTAAGATTTTTATAAAAAAAGTATTTTAAATAGTAATAGAAATTAAAATTGTTTATAATATTTTAATAAATAAAAACATAGTTAAATCTCTTTATTATTGAACAGATTTACTTGCAAACATAATTTTATAATACATTAAATAAATTTAAAATTATTAATTAGATACAATAATAAGCTTTTAAATTATCGATGTTATAAGCTATTTAATTACTAAATTTAAATATAAAAAATTTGTCTATAAATACCTACAATCAAAAAATAGTTATATTATTTATAATATCTTAATTTCATACAATCAAATTTATTCTTGCTATAGTCATTATATAAGAATTCTTACTATAGTGCACAATCTCTAGTTCCAAATTTTATATTGTTACTCTAAGTCTATAATTAAATTTATAAAAACTAAATATTGAATTGCAGATTATACTGCATAATATCTAAAGTTATCAACCGTTTATATTTTATAAAATGGATAAACTTCTTTACTAACGCTAAGAAGTAAATACAAAATTTAATCCCTGCTGAGCATATTCGCGGATTAAATTTGTATTTACTTCTCAGTAAAGAAGTTTACCCATTTTATAAAATACAGATGTTTGATAATTTTAGATATTATGCACCACACTTCTCTAATTATTAAATTTGATTTTTCAAGAGCTGGTTAATTGTTTACAAATAAATAATTACAAAGCTAGTTTTTTACGAGCTAATTTATAAACTTACAAGTCAAATTTTTATATAAACAAAATTACTAATTTAAATTTTTACTATATATAATATAATTTATTTTAAAAATATTATTTATAAATTCCCAGAATATTTAGTAGAACATAGTAAAGTTGAAACATAAGAAATTTGACCTCCATACCATATAGTCACAACTTCTTTATAATCACAGTTTTTCATATCCCGAGGATGTGATTATAGGGAGGTCAGACTGAACCTCTCTATACATAAAAGTGTAGAAGTGCTCTACGGTACGACAAACCTAAATTTCGAATTTCAAAATAATATACGTACGTAAATATGTTACAGGAACTTTTAAATCGACAATATGTTTCATGTTAAAAATTCTTAATAAGCTAGGAACTGAAAAAATGTGACTATATTGATTTTGTGATTATATGGGAGGTGGCTATATGGAGGTTCGACTGAACTACCGTAAAACGCTCTGTATAGTATCCCCTCCTCCTTTGTAAAGTACTTTTATGGTGCGTATTTTTATTTATACGTTATAGATTTGTATCACTTAAATTAACAATGACGAGAAAAGAAACTACATACGTACATGTATTATTATTAGCGTTAGAAATAACAACGACAATAATTCATATAAACGTTTAATTAAATTTGAATCGAGAGACTCACGTAATTTTTACAAGTAATGAATCGCTTCTAATTAAACAAAAGAACTAAATAATTTAATTATATTAACAATTTTTTATGCCATATTTAAGGTAAATTAACAATGACGAGAAAAAAAACTATCTTCTATGAATTAGCGTTAGAAATAACAATCTTGTCACAATTAAATAAATGTTTAATTAAATTTGAAACAAGAGACTCTTGTAAATTTTACAAATAATGAATCTCTTATTAAACAAAAGAACTGAATAATTTAAATTATATTCTTAACAATTCTTTGTGCCGTATTTAAAAGTCTTATTACTGTATGTATGCGATATTCTTGAAAATTCTTATTATTATGTTCTGGTTTTATCGTTATTGTTTTGCAAATTATTAAATTGATCTTTGCGTATAATTAAATTCGCAAGAAAATTTGTTTATATCTGAAGAAATATAAATACTTGCCATTTTTCGATGAATATATTAATTTGAGATGGTCGTAATCAGGAATAAACAAAAAAAAATCACGAGGAACCTGGTGTGCTCAAGAAAAATTAAAGATTGTTATGTATTATGAAAAAAATAAAAAATGAAACTTCTGTTCATGAAACAAGTAAAAAGTTTAATATCCAGCCCAAGCAATTACGGGATGGATAAATAAAAAAACAACCTAATTAAAATATCAATGACTTTTAAATTACATAAAAGGAAAATTACCCAAGTATCCACAATTAGAAGCTTTATCTGATTGGATTAATAATCAACAGCAATTACAAAATTCTGTTACTAGAACATTTGGTGATTACACTGATTTCCAAAATCTATCGGATATATGAAATTTTAAATTTTCGAATCGATGGCTTGATAGTTTTCTAGATCGATATAATTTGTCAAACCGATGTCATACAACTATCGCACATTTACCTGAGAATCTAGAAGAAAAAAAAACAAAGTTTTCTTACTTTTATTTTATATCAACGTATTCAATATAATTACCCTTTACCTTCAATTGGAAATATGGACGAGACTCCTCTTACCTTTGATTTACCAAATCCAACAAACGTGGCGCCCGCACAATTAGTCTTCGAACTACGGGTAATGAAAGAAAAAATTTCACTGTTGTTCTTGGATGCATGGCCGATGGGACAAAATTACCTCCAGTTTGCGTTTTTAAACTAAAAAAAAATACCCCGAGAAAGCTTTCCTAATAATGTATTTATTCGTGTGAATGAAAAAGGTTGGGTTAATGAAGAAGAAATGCTTTGGTGGGTTGAAAATATTTGGACTAAAAGACTACCTTAAGTAATCCACATTCCCTTTTAGTTTTTGATTCCTTTCGTACATATTTAGTTGATACAGTTAAACATAAACTTATTGAAAATAATACAAATCTTGCTGTAATTCCTGGCGGATTAACATCTAAACTGCAACTATTAGATGTTGCTATTAATAAAAGTTTTAAGATGAAGGTATATAAAAATTTTAATTATTATTATTATTATATTTTGTTTCTTTTTGTCGTTATATACATATTTAAAATTAATTTTAAAAGGTTGTGCACTATATAATCGATGGATGTCAGAAGAAATTCATGAGCCTACACCTTCAAACCGTATTAAAAAACCTTCATATTCATTACTCCCTAAATGGGTAGAAATTGCGTGGATGTCTCTTAATTAAACGTTCATTTATATTTAAATGTTGTGTGATATCTGACGAAATTGTTATTTTCTAACGATACGTAGTTTCTTTCTCATCATTGTTAATTTAACATTAAGTGATACAAATCTATAAATAAAAATATGCACCATAAAAATATCCGTGCATAAACCGGAAAGTACTTTACAAGGGAAGTGTGGGTATGCAAAAAGTACCCTTATCATTATACGTACATGTTCATTGCTTTAAACATTTTAAATACGTAGTTGAACATATAGATATCATAGTAATAGTTATTTAAATAATAAGATGTCTACGCTACTGATATTATGCTTAAGGTTAATACATGTACCTGGATATTTTACAAAAATCGATGTTCAAATTGTTGGTATAAAATTATGCCAACAAATGAAAACTGAAATAAATTAAACCCAAGCAGTCTGACGGTCATAACATCCACCCAAAACTCAATAGTTTTTAACGCTATTTGTTTATTTTATAAACTTTGCACTTTTGAATTTCGACGGAACTCTTCGTAATATGCAAGTATCTCGGGCGAAATACGTCTAGTGCAAGATTCGATTGCTTGAAGAAAATGGCAGTGATGTATCTAATGATGGAAAAAAATTAGGAAATCAAATTTTTGGCAAATATAAATACTAAAAGAAACACAAATTTTACGTTTGTGGCTTCCAAATCTTCTTCCATTGCAAGTAACCCTGCTTCTTGACACAATGCGACTATTTCCGCGCCTGAACATCCCGTTGTCTAAATAATATTGAAAAAATACCAAATCAATAAAAAGTATACAACTATCACTACTTTAAAAAAAGGACAAAGTAAAAAAAGAAATCGGCACAAACTTTCTCCGCCAGCTCATCAATATCCAAATTCTCAGCAACTGCCATCTTTTGCAACTGTATTCGAAATATTTCGCGCCGTGACGATAAATCAGGTGGACTCACATACAGTATACGGTCGAATCTTCCTGGCCGAATTAGTGCCTTATCCTATTTGAATAAAATATGTATGCTTACCTTCAAACATAGACACAGTTTGGTAGATTTCACATTTTCGTACCATTACATCAGGCCGATTTGTAGCTGCCACAATTGTCACATTAACAAGTGGTTCGATACCGTCCATCTCGTTCAGTAATTGTGAGAGAACACGATCGGCTACGGAAGATGATGTTTGTCCTGAGGAACCTCGCTTTACAGTCAAAGCATCAATTTCGTCCTAGAAATACATCGAAATAATAAAAATAAATAATCCTGAACTCAATCGATTTATAATTATCTTCATAATTACAAAGAAAACAATAGAAGGTGCCGCCGCGCGTGCTTTTCGAAATGTTTCTCTAATGGCTTTTTCTGATTCACCGACCCACTTGCTCAGCAACTTGTATGAGAAAAATAAATAAATCAGTCAGAAAAACTAAAGTTTATCGAATCCCCAAAAAAGAAGAAATAAAACCTCTGGCCCTTTAATCGCAATAAAATTCAACCCAGCTTCGGTAGCCAAAGCCTTTGCCATCAAAGTTTTACTGCATCCCGGTGGTCCATAAAGCAAAATACCCTTTGGAGGATTTATTGAAAGTCGAGTAAATGCTTCGGGATGCTTTAATGGCCATTCAATCGACTCCTTAAACTTTTGTTTGATTTCTTCTTGTCCGCCGATATCGTTCCAATAAACTTTTGGTACTTCGAGGATAATCTTTATTTTCCAATTACATATAAATTTTGTAATGAAGTTAAACCTTGCAGAAATCTAATAATGAAATTACTATTGAGCACCTCTCGCATGGCACTTGGCCGAATTCCATTCATCGCGGCTTCCATATCTGGCATCGTAAGTTTTATATCGACTGACAATCATAAAAATAAGCCAAATATGTTGAAATTGTCTGAAAAATCATTTTTTTTTATTTGAGAAAATAAATACCTGGGCCGTCAGAATTAGTGATTCGTTTTATAGCCTTCAGCCCAGCTTCGCGACAAACAGCCGCCAAATCCGCACCCACATATCCGTGTGATTTAGCAGCCAATTTCGCAACATCTTCATTCGCCAAATCGTTCGGTATTTTTTCAAGCAATGTACGAAGAATTTCAGCCCGAGAATCTGCATTTGGAATACCTAAAAATTGATATACTCAATTCAGCAAAAAAGCTTGGAAAAAGCATCGAAATCAAATGAGTTACCAATTTCAATTTCTCTATCAAATCTTCCCGGCCTTCTTAATGCCCGATCTAAAGAATTTGGACGATTCGTTGCACCAATAATGACAATTCGTTCTTGATTCCCAGACCTTTTGCTAGAAATGCCATCCATGAGCGTTAATAATGTCGCAACGATACGCTTTTCCGATTCATTATCAGCCTACATATTTACAAGTTGAGATTAAATATACAAACAAAGGAAAAAATTGTCATTAAACAAACCTCATCTCGACTAGTACACAAAGCATCAATTTCATCAATGAATATTATAGAAGGCGAGTTTTCTCTTGCTTCTTCAAATAATTCCCGTAGCTATTTTAAATAAATTGGAATAACTTTTTTACACGTATCCAAAATATCGAATATTAAGAAGTAAAATACCTTCGCTTCCGTTTCACCATGAAATTTACTAACAATCTCTGGACCATTAATCAGGATTAAATGAGCACCAGTCTCAGCTGCAACTGCTCGAGCTACTAAGGTTTTACCGGTGCCCGGTGGTCCATGCAGTAAAATACCTTTGGGAGGCTGAACGCCTTTATTTTATACAGAAGTTAATTGATATTAATATCAATTATTTTGAAAAACTACAAAGATACTGACCATAGTAATCAAAAAGCTCTGGATTCGTGAATGGCAATTCAACCATTTCTCGAACAATTTGGATTTCCTTTGATAGCCCACCTATAGATTTGAAACCAACTCCTATCGACTTCAAATTCGTGCCATCACCTTTCGATGCTGTATCCTTTGTTTTATAAAAATATATAAACAATCAAAATGTCAAATATCATATTTTGAATTAAACAATTCAGAAAAAAATACATACGTGTCGAGGATTCACCAAAATTGTCACTTTGGTATCGCGACTTATCGTATAAATCGATTCGGATAATGACGACGACGAAATTTCAATACTTTCACCAAAATTCGTGAAATTTGGTCGAATATCAACGACCTGAAACTGTCGAATTTTACCATGGTATTGAACTTGGACAAGATTCGTAATCAACAAATACTTTAAATTTACTATTTTATTAAATTTAAATGGTAAGTTTTATTTTTATCAGCAATGAACAGAAAAATACGAATACTTGCCAAGAATTTCTTTCATAAAAATATTCAAAATCTGATCTATTGGAAAATCGGGCACGGTTACTGGCGCCAACACTATTTTCGCTGCGGCCACAACCGATTTCTCAATCCGAGAGACTAACGTGAAATCGCCTTTTTCAAGGTGCGCATTCTCGCATTGTATTTCTGATAGTTGAATCTCTACAAAAAATGATTTTTATGCAGCAATCTTCGAAATACATGTAGTAAATACTGTATATATGTAGATACGTAATGTGTATCACAATACCATTAGGTTGTATCGTAAACGATGGCCACGCTACACCAACTGTTGCTGTTATAACAGCCTATTTCAAAGAGAAAATTCAAGGTCACTTTACCTAGCAATAATGAAAACACCCAAATGCAAAATATTTACTTGATCATCATCGAATAACTCGTTATTTTCGATATTCGTATCATTATCGTTATGGTTATTTTTAAACCGACGAATCACCACATAATCCCCAGTACAAATTTTACGCTGTCGCATCGCTTCCACATGAAGATATGCTTTTCGTTCATTTTCACCGATGGATGGTAAATTATTGCTAGTACTCTCAGTGGGATTATTACCTTTAAAAGATTGAACTACTATTAATGGGTTTTCGGATGATGACGATGACGACGATGATGTTGTTGTTGATTTTATTTTCAAGTTGGGTATTTGCGATGCCATATTATGGGAAAAATTTTTTAGGTTGATATGCCAAAATCATAATTTTAATTACCATATTGATCACGTTAATTAGTAATCTTGCTAAAACTTTAATAACGATAACAATAACTTCTTTTTATATAATCGAATACCATAAATTATATTTTTGTAAATCAAAAACAAATTCGAATGCTTTTTTCGTGTACAATAAAAAATGCAAAACTACCAGAGTCATCAACCAATCTATGTATCTATTTACCATCAAAAAAATATATACAAAAATTCAAATGCTACATAGCGATAGTCTACCATCCAAAACAATCAATATACGTGCAACAATAAACCCAGTGCGGGACTACTGTCGACGACTGATCTGAGCTAATAATGGTTTTTTCATCGGTAATGTCAATGACCGGCCAGGCACAGGTTCCTCTTCAATCTTTAACTCTATTCTGAATTTACGCAGAACCACTATTGTCAGTGTGAGTGCCTCGATGGTGGCAAATTGATGTCCCAAACTAAAATATTAGAAAAAATTACATGAGATTAGAGTTAAATCCACCATTACAATATTCTCATAGCTATTGAGAAAGCTTAAAACATACCATGCACGCGGTCCAGCATTAAACGCAATAAACTTTGTTTGACTAAACTTTATAATATCCCCACTCTCATCAAGGAACCGTTCCGGTTTGAACAAATCCGCATCGGCACCCCAAAGTCGCTTAGACCGACCGATAACCCACGCGTGATATGAGATGATGGTGCCCGCGGGAATGAATGTACCGTCCGGTAATATGTCGTCATTAACTGTCAGTTTAGCATTTTTCGGAACGGATGGGTAGAGACGGAGAGTTTCGTAAAAGCTGGATTTTTGCAAATCGAAAAAAAAAATCAGAGAAAGTTCAAGTGAAACGTATAACGCGCGCGTCTTTCGTCTTTTCTTTTCTCAGGATAATGATGAAAATAACAAACTTACACAGCCGTAGCATACTTCAGCTCTTTGATATTGTCGTATGTAGGCAATGCATCAGGTTCAAGTTTATCTTTTATTTCTTCTAGAAGCCGTTGTTCAACTTCTGGGTGTGTGGCGATTAGATAAAACATCCAGCTAAGACGTTAAAAACCTTCATTATTTTAAGTTATGATATAATGGTCATTAGTTGCTTTTTTTTTCTTGAAATTGCTTACCTTAATGCTTGAGCAGTTGTGTCACGACCAGCTATCATGCTTGAGTATTAGTGAATAAAAAATTAAGGACTTTGATGACTTTTATACGATGGATATAAAATTATTCATATAAAAAATTTACCAAAAAAATAAAGGATACAAATTAAGAAAAATATCGCGTAACTCCTTATCACTCAACCTACCACCACCTTTTCGTGGACTAACTCCACCTTCCCTTTTGTCAATTCTCTCCGCCACATTTTCATCACCACCATCACCATCACCATCACCATCAACTTCTACATGCATAAACAAACTAAGCAAATCATTTTTAATCTTTCCCTCCGGATCATCGATTCGTCGCTGCTTTATCAGATCCTCAGCATAACTATCAATAACGACAATCGCCTCGCGAAACTTTTTCCCGGTTGCCGAGTACTTTTCCGCTAGTTTCCAAAACGGTGAGACAAATCTGTATTCGAGAACGCTTTGGACAAAGTCAAACGCTGCTGCGAATGACTTTGGCGAGTTGGGGTTGGTAAGAAAATCGAATGATTCTGGCGAGTTAGGGGTTGTAAGACAATCGAAGGATTTGCTGAATGAGATTCTTTGTTGCGAAGGTTTTGAGTAAATTTATTGCATTAGGATATATCGGAACAATAACATCTATGTAAATTAATCAACTTACAGTCCGAAACAATCGATCGTGAAGCGATAAAATAGATTTTGGAGATCAACGATTTCACCAGTCTCAGCCGCCTTAGATAGAATATCAACTGCTACGAGGCTTTCGTTCGCAAATACTGTACATAGTAAATCTCGAAAATTGCGCACGTTAAAGATTTTTGATGCTGTTTTCCTGATTTCATTGATAATTAAATTAGGATAGATATAGAATGAATGTGATATGAAATAAATGAAAACATCAATGTCGTTAATAACAAGATGAATGAACCTTTGTAATTTCCATCCTTCGCCATCTGAATATATTATTTGCGGATTAATATGATTCATTAAAAGAATCATAAGATATCTATTACTTACCTGATGCGAAGATCCCGTTTCCGAGAATATCGTGTACTCGACTAAACATATATTCGCCCTTGACATAATTTTCAAAATTGGCTGATTACGATTCAAAGAAAATATCCGAAATAATTAATTACTCGCTAGAAAAGATACAACAAAAAAAACCAATCATAAAAATTAACAAACAATACTCACTTTTCAAAACATACTCCAACATGACTGGATCATCAATTCTTTAAATTTTATCATCCAAACCAAATATCAGAACACCTTCAATTCTCAAAATAATAAAAAACATGCAGATGCATATAAAAATCAAACTCGCCCCACGACTCTTCCAATACCGGGAACAGAGCGCGTCCTAAATTGATTCTCAATCATCAGATTCAAACAAAAAATTATACATGTACTAGAATAGTCACGCACCAGATAGGTCCATACGTGTCATACAAAAACAGAAATTGATCTAGCGTCTTTTTCTCACCCCCGCCATGTTTCATCACTACGGATATTAGATTTCCGATCAGTGGTAATCCTTTTGGTCCTATTTTTTTTTTGGAAAATGATATGAACGCGCATAAGTATATAAAATATAATTTATTCTGGGTTGATTGTTTGAAAACCTAAACCCAATAGAATAGATAAAAAAATTGCTTTTCTCAGCACTATATCCACAACATACCAGGATATCCATGAAACTCTGGTGTGCCAATAGCTCTATCCGGATACTTATACACAAAATATATCAGTATCCCCACCACCAATATGAATATAGATATCATATTTTCTTGAAATATATTTTAACCCAAAAAAATAATAAAATAAAAATGCAACAGAATGATGATTCACAGGAAATAATGATAGTTAATTTGAATCTAAAAATAATTTTATGCATATGTCGTGATTTTCAACTACATAAGAATTAACGTTAAACACATCCTCTTAGAAATCAGGATACGTTCGTAGTGATTGATCACCGTAATTGAAATTACAAATATCGTTATAAACTTCTTCGCGACCCCTGAAAATGATAAACAGGTCTCCGTATTTTTTTATTACTATTGCTGTTCTTATTATGATAGATATATCACTCTCTTTCTTTTGTTTGTACTTTGACGGAATTCTTTTTTCTGAACTTGATAGAATGCAGCAATTGTTGTAAAATATCAATATCTGCCACGATAAAAAAGCAAATAACGTAATTACTGGAAGGAGTTTTTTTTATTCTCTGTTCATTTTACTTTTACTAAATTCTGTTGTATGCTATTTAACAGAACTCTTGTCTCCTGTCTCTTGGACACAAACTCAGTGTCATAACATACTACACTCACATTTGAGTAAACAAAAAAGAAAAGATAAAAAACACCCACCCAAGTTGCATTCAACGAAATTATAAAAAATGTCCGGTGTTGAACTTGACGATGATCAGTCGTCAGTAGTCTCGTTTCCCTTACCTCGTGAGGCATACCTAAAAGGTCCACCTTCCGCGGTAATGAGTAACGGACCTTCTGTGATATCCACCATGACACACCAGACGATCCAGCCTCCCCACGAGGCAAACATAAATTTCAAACCAACCACGACCGCAATTTCGAAAAACTCCAAACTAAAGTTGCATGTGTTGCTCGATTCAACTATTTATACGGCTGGCGGAACGCTGAATGGGAGACTGGTATTGACGTGTTCAACTTCACGGTCGGTAAAACTTGGTGAAATATCTGCAGAGTTAACCGCTTACGAAGGTTGGTTTTTAAAAATCGAATCAATGATCTCGATTCATCTCATAATTAAATCTATTTGTGTTTATTGATGATGTAGAATTATCAACTCGTGAATACACCGCCACACAATCGTTTCTCTCTTCACGTTTGGTTTTCCAAGGATCAAACCTGCCGCCGTCTAACGCTGTTCATGGCGCCAGAGACGAAAATGGGTTTTGGTTGGCGAAGAAGGGGAAAACTACGTTTCCGTTCTCGTTTAAGATACCTATTGACGCGCCAAGTTCGGTGGTTTTCGGTAGCGTGGCGAGTTTGAGATATGTCGTGACTGGGTGAGTATTTAGTATATTAATTAATCAAATTTTAATTGACTAAATTCTTAATCATTTAACGCAGAGATAGATATTAACAGAAATAAACGTTAATTAAATTGATTATTTTATTTTATCTTTAGTGTAATGCAGCTTTTTTACAACAACAGAGAAGACACTATTTTCAAATCAAAAGAGGCATTTGTGGTAGAAGCATGGGACGGGCAGAATCCTGAATACAAACAATCAGTCGAGGGCATGAACATGAAACAACTGTGGATGGGTGGAAACGGGCCTGTGATGCTTGAGGGAACATTGATTGAAACGTTGTTCACTAGTGGTGGGAATGTTAGCGCGCAAGTTAGAGTTCGGAATGATACAAAGAGACGAGTAAAGTATTATTTATTATATTACAGTAATCTATGATTTTTTTGTAATGTGTCAATTATAACAATCTATTGAAAATTTTTTGTTCTGTATCATATTTTTAGGTCCAAGGCATCAAACTTGGAATCCTCCAAAAACTAATAATCCTCGCAAACAAGAATAAAAAAGAAGCGGACGACACGAAAGTCGTTTCAGAGACTGTCGCCGAGGAGTGGTTCAAGAATAAAGATTTTCTGTTTGATTGTGGCGAAGATCGAACTACCACGGTGAATCTACATGTGCCGGTAAGTTGTAAAATGAAATCTGCGATTCAATTAACAGTTAACGAATATGTGAATAATCGAAATTTGTATCAGAATACTGTTCGCACAATACGGAATACTGCTCTGTTCGAAGTCACTTGTCATATTGTTGTTTCTTTGTATTTGGGTCCTTTCACGTAAGCATTCTATTTGAAATTCTATGTTTCAAAGTTATTTTGATTCTTGTTACACATCTCTTCAAATTATTATTTAACAAATAGTAAGGACCTGACAGTGGAATTACCCGCTAGTATATGCCACTCAGCCTCACTACAACCGCCACCCGTTGCCAACGTAGAACTAAACCATTTTCCTAACCACTACAACATGATCGATGAAACCCGAGATTTTTTCGTGGAAGACATTCGTAAAGACGATACGGAAGAATTAATCGGTAGCCCATCTCAACCAGTAGACATTCCACAACGAACTCAAGGTTTACCATGGACTAACGCGGCGACAGACCAAGACGCGTATCGTGGTCGGCACTCACCAACCAATAATTCGGCCGGATCCTATATTCTCGGATCAGCGAGCCCAAAAAAACTAGGGTCGCTGGCATCCTCGATTCTTGGCAGAGGGACAAAACAAACACCAAGTTCAAGTCCAACAAAACTTATTCCGAAATCACCGCCGTTAGCTCCTGCTTCACCATACGCTTACATTCCGGCCATTGAACGTGTTCGATATCTTGCCTTTCCTACACAGCAACAGGCCGCAATTCAAGGCCGAAGGATTCCGCAGTCCTCCACGCCAAGCGTTGGATACGGGATCTACAGTAATGTCACCGTGAATACGCCACCAGCACCAGGTTCCGATTGTGAATATTTACTCCCAGAACCTAATGTCTCCATACAGAAGTGGTTAGAGAATCAACAGCACCCTATTTCATGTTCTGAATCTCCTGAGCGTGAATCGGTTGTAAGTAATTCTGTCGATGCTTCGCCATGGGCGAAACTTAATCGTACCCAAGAAGTAGCCAATTCTACTATAAGTCATCGGTCATCACCATCCGTGTATGATAAGCAACAACAGAATGCGATTCCGATTCCTATTCCTGTTTCAACAGCAAATGATCTACCTCAAGATACTTTTCGACGAAATGACAGTTTGGTTTCTTCGCCTACGGGTCCATCGGGGCTTACATTATTAATGAAACAGAAGTCAAGTTCACCCCCTTCGGTTATCGATCAATTCGCAAATACTACTAATAACAATATGTATCCGATGAACTCTGCTTACAATCATATACCAAAAGGACGTCCATTACCGAAACCGCATCGTCCACTGCCTATACCGCCTTCAAAAAACACCGAATCTCCGGGTCAAGAACAAATTGTTAATGAAAAACCAGCCAAAAGTAGATATCTGCAAGTACCGGGCGTGACAAGTTCAGCAAATGAAATTTCTGAGGAGTTCGCTAATCCAGGCAGCAATGATGCAAATGCTAATGCAGGCGGAATTGGTGGTTTATCTTCTCTTTTAAAATGGGGCACGTCTTGGATGGGGTATGGAAGTACCGAAGCGCAGAATAAAGAAGAAACAATAATAAAAGAAGAAGCTCTCCAACAAAGCTCGATAAATAATATAAATGAAAAAAAAGAGATTGCATCAGCAACTACAAATCCGAACATTATCCAACCTATAAAATCTTCCAATCCCGATAAATCGGCTTTAACTTCTAGCCCCAATAAATTAGTTTCAACCTCTAATCCTGATAAAGCATCACTACATGTAACATTTGAAGAGATTACACCAAAATCGGAAAATTTAGATTCGACGGCTATAGAACCACCCAGTGACAACAAAATTTCAGAGAGTTCTACACCGCCACCTCCTCCTACACGACCTATCACAAAGGCTTCAATATTCGCAGTTTTAGGTCAAAAACCACTTGGTACATCACCTCCACCAATCCCAATAAAAAATCTCGCCTTGCGAAAATATAATCCGAGTGGGAATAATGGTAAGGAGCTAGCAGCTGCACGTTTTAGCCCTCCTAAGCAAAAAGGACTTCCGCAGGTTGCACGTAAACCACTAAGCGAAAACAAATTTCTAAATGATGATGATAAAGTAGCTGTCACAGCAGCCGAAACTGAAACAGAATACATTGATGAGAAACAAGCATTAGTACTTATCGAAAATGTCGAAAATGATTTAATTTTAATCAGTAATTCCAATGAGACGGTAGAAAATAAGAATAATGTTGAAGATATAGTGAAAGAAACGAATTCAATTCCCATAATTAATTCTAACAATGAAACCAGTGCCTCTGTAACTTCGAGCTCGCCTCCACCATACATTCAATCAAAGATTACAGCGGCACCGACAACATATGTGAACACCACTTTGCCGAAACCTATAATAGCCTTTGACAAAATGGTCAAACGACGAAGGAAAAAAGTGGGCGTGGAGAATATTAGCGAAGAAGGATTGACTGCAAAGATTACTGAGCCACCGAAACAAGCGTTGAGTCCACGAATCTTAAATTTAATGAATCAGTTCAATAATGGTGGTGGTGATGCGTCTAGCGGATCTAATAGTAAATAATTCAAACACTCATTTTTTGTATTATATTTTAGTTTTCTTGTATTTATTTTTTTTTTGATTGGACAATTTTCTCTGTTACATCATCTATTTTTTATGTATTCTTTTATTGATCAGGACTTTTTGTATTTTATTTTTTATTGATCGGACTTTCTTGTATTTTTTATTTTATTGATTGGACTATTTCAAATATTTTTTCTCTTGAACAAATAACTACCAGTAGTTCTAACACGATTATCCTATAAGATCGAATATTTCCTCTTTCTTAATAAAGTCTCGGTGGAAATTCCTATAACTAAAAGAAGTCTAATAATAATAATTACTATTATCTGAAAAATGCCTTCGTGTGTTGTATCAATTTTTCGTGTTAAATATAGATATTTATAATCAAACAGCATTCCTCGTCCTTCTTATCTCCTTATACTCTTTCCACATTGTCTTCTCAACTTCAGATTTCTTGCGCACAGCACCGAAAGCAATCGCTTGTTCCTCTGCAACTCGTTGTTCGATCTCTTCACGTGCACGTATCTCGTAGAATTCGTTGCATGCGACCGCGTAGGCCTGACGCTGACTCATACTCTTGTGTGCCATTAGATACATTTGATACTGAACAACACTTTTTTTCAAGATTATCATCATCAATATACCAAAAATTTAACATATAAATGGCATTGATTAGTTAATCAAGTGAATGAAACCGATCAATCACCCACCTTTCACCAGTAACCTCAGACGGATCTTCGTCATCACCCACCAACGACTTCCACACTTTATCAACCGGAATCTCTTTTTCCATCAACATTCGCGGACGTAACAACTCGTACGGGTGATCACGATAGAACTGGCGACGCAGAGCGTCTTCCGGGTAGACTATCGGTTGCGGTCTTATGCTTTTTGTGCGTAAATGTTTTAAGGAATTTGAAGAACGTGATCTTTTTTTAGTGGATTTGTTGATTGGATCGGATGTTATTTCAATATTAACATCATTATCGTTCAACATGTCAGTGTTACTATTGCTGTTGTCATTCAAAGTGTTGGTATTATTATTAGGAGTCCGCAATAAACTTTGTCCTGGTGGATACATTTTCATTACTGGATACCATATCGGGGCTTTGTTGTATATACCACCTTTCATTAGATGTTCTACATGGTTGTGAAGTTGTGTAGGCCGAATACGAAGTGGCATTTTTTATATTTACTTTTAATAACGTTATTAATGTTTTCCTTTTTCGATCAAAAGATGGTTAGTAAATTCACGTGATGATAGGATGGTGCTTTGATTAAAATGATTATTTTATTCTGTTACTGGAAGAACCAAAATCATGATACCGTTCAGGTTGGCAATAATAATACTATATTTTTTATAATGGAGTTATCGAACTCGGGGATATCCTTTATTAATTATGCGAAAAATGGTGGGACGTGGCAATATCGAAAACGTTTGCAGAGTGGAAACAGCGATTTTGGTGGAAATGAAGGAGTGAAGCAGTTTTGATTCTAATGAGAAGAATATTAAATTGTTAGTAATTCAAGTTTAATTAATAGTTGAAGGAAAGCGAAAGATTCCGAATTTAGAGAAACTAGCAACATATATGAAAAGTTGATAATTACGTTGTTTTTGGAGTGCCCAAGCTATTTCAGCAGATTATTCTATAATAATAATCATAATTGATTAATTCAAACTCTTAAATCTTTAATAAAAATTATATAAAAGAAAGTAATCAGAGTTCCGAATTGTTTCATCCTACTGAGTTAGTCGCAAGGAGTGACCGTTCACCAAGTTACTCAGGAGTAGCCCGTTCAACGACCAGATCCAACGGATGTACAGCTAAACATCTTAATATTAATTTTTGTGGGGGAAAAATGGATTATGGTGAAAATTTGCAATATCTATTATAACAAGTATACTCATAAATTTACATAGTATATAGCAATATAAATATTATTGCAAAATTAATTTAAGTTATATATTTTATGCATTTATCATTATTTTCAAAATATTGCTCTTTTATTATAAGAAATTATCGATAATTCTGGCTAAATGAAATCACGTGCAAATATTAGGTCTCCCCTTATCGTTATAAACCGATAATCTCGGTCACTGGAACTACCAAAATTAATGAAGGGTTCTAATAACCCCACTATACTAATAGGCCATGAACGTCTGTTAGTCTCGGCAATAAAGGAGGACATTGATTTACTGTTGTCGGCATATCAACAAGTATGGAGAAAAGATACTTAGGTTCTTTTAGAACTAATCTAAATAAACAAACTACTGATTTACCTTTGTATCCATATAGCAAACAACCTACGACTTTACAGCATTCAAAAAAATATGGACAAGTTTGAATTTCGAGGTGATTCATTTTGCGGCACATGAAAAGACTGGACGTGAGGTGTTTATGCAGACGTTGTTTCAGTTACTTCTTGGTAATAAGCTGTTTAACTCGCTTCAAAATATCGCGTTCTTGAGTTCCCAACGAAAAAAGCATCATTATACGCCTCACATTCATATTCTATACATTAAAAACAGATAAATACAATAAAACACGTCTCCTCGAAACAAAACTCGGCGCAATTTACGCAATGTACCTTCTGTATTACACGCAACCCAAAAAACTGTTTGATCAAGTTATACGGATTCGTGTGACTTTAGGTTTGGCATCGACGCCTTCGTTATTCTCGTCTGATTTCTTTCTTATTTTTACAGGCTAATACGTTGCTGTTGATTTTCAGATAATTGGAAATCACTATTTGATCTTTTTCAGTACTGCAAGAAATACAAGATTCACGATTTTGTCTATATATATAATAAATTGAAAACTGATTCTGCGTGGGTTTTTGTCGCGGTTGCGGATCCATGCTACGAATACGGAACGCGTGACGTTGCAAAAGAAAGAAAAGAAAGCGTGAACGAATTGTATGCATTTTTGTATTATACTTTTTTTCATCAGTAATAATAAAATCTCGATAATAAATACAAAATACATAAACGTAGTCAACCATTTCCAAAGGAACTCTCACAACTACGCGAAGACCTAGACCAGATCCGTACAGGCAGCCTCGAAAACCCCTCAAAACTCGCGGAACTACAAAATCTCAGCCTAGATTATTACAACAAACGAGACGTGATATGCGGGACAGTAGAAGAAAAAGCAGTTGGTCAGAAAAAATATTTCTCTATGCTAGATAATAAAAATTTCGATATTTATCGATTTAGTATGCCGCTCAAAGTTTCGAATATGGAATTTTTGGATGGAGTTGAAGAACGATTGGCGAGGTCACGACTACGACGGAGTCAATCGCTTGCGCAGAGTTTTGGATACTGGAAAAAACAATCAATGGCGAAAAATAACGCGAATGGACGAGCGCAACTGTCGTCACCTGACATGAACGCAAAAGTTGGTGATAATAATACGGTAAGTTTGGGTAACTGCGTCTGCGCTATTAGAAATTTTGATTTAATTGGTAAATTCGTTTATCGAGGCGGATTTACTATGACAAGTTTCAATTAGCGCTTCGGATTATCCGAGTTGTCTTTTTGTCGATCATTACACGTCTTATTATATTTTTCCAGTTTTGTTTTAATTGATTCATTTTTCTTTTATACAAAGCTCACATCTTATGAAATACGAAATAATTTACGTCATCGGGAATACACGCAGACTCCTACGGATAATGCAGAGAAAGCAAGAGAATTCTCGCTTGATTTTCCACCAGCTATAGCAAAAAAAAATTCATCTTTATCACCATAAAATACAAACAGTTACGTGTTTCTTGAAAAAGATTATTTATAATTGCTATTATTTTATGAGTAAATTATCTTTTCATATCTAAATTTATCTGAACAGTTTTGACTTCTGTATAATTTTGTAAAGCATATTTTCCAAGTTCACGACCATGACCTGATTCTTTGAAGCCGCCGAATGGACTACCAATCCAAAATAAAATTAGAACGTGTAAAAAACCTCAACAAAAAAAAAATAAACTTTCAATAAAAAAAATATTTACGCGTTATAATCGGTTTGATTGTAACAATTAACTAGAGAGAAAGTCGGGAATTAATAATTTTGGTATTGACGATTGCAGTATACATATAAATATTAATACACATACCCCACACGGATCCAGCTTTAAGTGCATTCGATATTTTAATTGCACGTGTGACATCTTTAGTGAAGACTGCGGCGGCTAACCCGTATTTCGTCAAGTGAGCTTTTTCGATTACTTCTTCGACTGTTTTGAATCTGGCGATTGCAACGACTGGACCGAAAATCTCTTCTTGCATAATTTTCATACTTTCATTCTATTATAAATTGGATTATTTTTAAACAATGAATCGCGTGAAAAATTCTTTTATGGATAAGAAAATTATTAAATACCACGTCGGTGAATATGGTTGGTTGAACAAAGTATCCCTCGGTTCCATGTCTGTCACCGCCTAGTACCAAATTGGCGCCCTCATCCTTACCAGCCTGAATATAAGACATGATTCTTTCAAATAGGGAAAAATAATTATTTTAAAACTCCTTCTCAACCTTCTTTCGATCCAAAATTAAAAGGTGAGAAACTCCTCTCACCTATCAAACTGAACTTTAGAAATCAACGGTCCTTGGTAAACATCAGGCTCGTACTGACTCCCAATTTTTTTCGACAACACAAACTCTTTGTACTGCTCTAAAAACTTATCGTAAATCGTATCCTGGACATAGACCCGTGATCCGGCACAACAATTTTGACCGGTGTTCGAGAAAACGCCGTTATGTGCCCATTTAATAGCCTGCTCGAGATCCGCGTCTGCGAATATGATGTTTGGTGATTTACCGCCGAGTTCCAAAGTAACTTTTTTGAGATTACTATCTGCTGCCGCTTTCAAAATATTTTTTCCGACAGTAGTGGATCCTTGTTTTTGTTATATATATGTTTGCGTATAATAATATATTCACGCATTATTATATCAAAGTTATTTGATCAAATAAAATGATATTATTACCGGTGAACGCGACTTTAGTTATTTTCATGTGACGAGCAATCGCTGCACCAGCTATTGGACCAAACCCAGGCACAATATTAACTACACCCGGTGGAAACCCAGCTTCGCGAATCAAAGCTGCGGTTTTTAATGCGCTTAGTGGTGTTTGTTCGGCCGGTTTTAAAACGATCGTGTTGCCGCAGGCTAATGCCGGTCCTAATTTCCAGGACAACATTGATATAGGGTAATTCCATGGAATGATTTGTCCTACTACTCCAATAGGTTCGTGACGAGTATAACAGAATTTTTCGTGACTCGTTTCAATAACCTTTGATCATTGAAATACAATGTAATATGCGATGTAATCAACGAAAACACGATAATCGATCATTACAGAAAACAATACCTTTCCATGAATTTTATCCGCCCACCCGGCATAATATCTCAACACATCAGCCGCATCCTCCACATCCCCAGTCGCATTCTGGATTGGTTTTCCGGTATCCAACGCCTCCAGATGCCCCAACTCTTCCATGTCACGCATCATCAAATCCGTCAATTTATACAATAATCGACCACGTTCTTTACCATCAACATGTTGCCATACTTTCTCAAACGCTTCAAGCGCCGCGTCAACTGCCACATCAATATCCGCGGCTGTTCCTTCAGCGATGCTCACTATCGGCTTTTCGGTCGCAGGATTGATCGTCTCGAAGCGTCGACCGTCGATCGATTCCACAAATTTGTTGTTGATGAATAGACTAGTGTGTGCTTTTTTTGTTTGAAGAAAAGAACGGAAATCAATTATTATTTGTCCTCATTCTTATCACGATGAGCTTATTGTATTCGAAGTTACGGGATAATTGTTAGCAACCCATATAATGTAAGCCTAGAATTTTTATTCTGGCGTACCCTCTAACGTTTTTCCATTAGGTAGCGTAATCTTTTGTGTCGGCGACACGTCGGACATTTTGATTCCAACACTGGAAGAGAAATCCTTTGATTGTAGGCTACGTTGAGAAAAATAACCACTGTTGATCCCTTGTGGTAATGTCTTTGTTGGTAGTTGGTTAAAGTTCCTCCTTATCGTTATTGTTATATTAAAACAAGTGATGAGCTTTATTTTCATGTGTAGCATAAAATCGCGTGTGGGAAAGGGATGTAGTCATGTGTGCGTTATTATGTAAATGCATTTACGTTTACCAAAATAATGTATCTATGTAGAATCTATTAAACTATTTAAAATTTCCTCATTGGTAGAATTGCCTAGAATAGAAACAAAGAATTTAACATAAATCTAAAATCCAAGAGCAATTTAGTATATTTACTACAAGTAATAAATTATATCGAGTATTTATTAAGTTTGTAATGATTTCCAACATATACCAAGATAAGAAGCAATAATTATTTCTCTTAATATCCCTTCTTACGTCCTATATACATCTTTAATATAGGTTACATTTTTATTTTTAATACGTCAATAAATTTGCACCCTTAATTTTAGTTTACGATTTCGAGTTAAAGAATTGCATCAACAATGGAACACAACGCAAATTTCTTGGCGCAGCGCAGATTGTACATATTTACCACTTATTAGTGATAACAAATTCATTTCTATATTTGTGCATAGCTACATCAATTTTGCAGAAACTGGAATACGTAATCATGTTTCGGACGAATCATTTTTCAAAATCCGAAACTACAAGCGGGAAGCTAATTTCTCCCGAAACACCACCAATAACAATGATATAGTGAAAGCAACAGATGATAATAAAATATGAATCAAAATATTATCCGTTATGCAATATAAGGTCATCATGATGTATGGCACCACAATAATTCATTATTCTGAATCTAGTAATAACAGTAATTGAGCGTTGACAAAGGATGTGGTAGCTCATATATGAAGGGTGATTATTAGAACACATGGAACAAAAACCTCCTACTCCAAAAGGATATTACGGGAAAATAAATTTCAAGTATATTTCACTTACCAGTTTTATGATTAGTTGAATGCAAGTCTCCCACTAATAAACGGCCACATCACGGAATCGCGAGAAGTGCGTGCAAACCGTAAATGAGATGACCAACGTACGAATCCGATCCTCGATAGACAATATCAAAAAGAAATTCAAAATTTCCGCACTGTGATTTTGAGTTTTAGAGAATTTCGATAGTGGTTTGATTGATACCATAACGATGTAATTAGCCGCCACATAAACACATGCATGTGCATGCATAATGCATAAAACGTAACAAAATGTCAGAATAGAGTCATTTTTGCATAATACAGTCAATGATGGTTACGATAACGTGATCGGGACACAACTACAAATACGGTATCATCAGAAGTTGACTACTAGATTATACAATTCAATCAATCGAACGATATTTTTTATTCTTTCACGATATACAATCAGATTGAGTTATCTACGTTTGATGTGTGTACGTGTTATTAAGAGGATTGTAATTGGGCAAAAGTTGCACGGGGTGAAATATTTAATATCGATAGATTGATCGAACTCAAATATCAAAATCATCATGAAGTTCGTCATTCGTATTTAATTGGATCCTGCGTCATCGTCACACACACGAAATTTCTTTCGTTTCGTTGACACGTGGAATTTTATTCCATCTTACCGTTACTGGGTTTTGTTTTAAAAAAGCAAGTATTTTTTTTTTGAACCGTTATTATTCGTAATTTAAGGGTTTTTGATAATACCGATACAATTGTGAGGTTGAATAAGAAAAGGAAACACAAGCCCGTTGAGATGCACATGAGATTGAATTAATAACGTGTTAATTTTTATTATTTTCGTATCTTTGATTGGCAAAATTCAATCTACCTTATGATTACATGTTCTCTTTCTACCATTCTTACTTAATAGATAGTGTATGTACTTCTATTCAATTTATTTATAATTGTCACACGTGCCACAAACGCAAGAGGATCAATACCAAGTTTTTCTTTATTTTTAGACTCATTGAAAAAGTGTGTACGTACCTCTTGTTTGATAGATTCTCGAAATAGATAAAATATGTGATACGTAATTACCGTTACCAAAAAAAAGAAATTCTATTGCTATCGCTATTACTGGGTAATTTACGTGTTGATTGAATTCCTTATCTTTTTTTTTGGGGGAAAATCGCAATACTATTGGTGTAACTCGAGGATGCAACTGCTGTATGTTATATGACACGTACATTTAAAAAACATGCATGCAACATGCAATATGAGAGCGAATATAATGTGATTGAGAATGAATATTTGGTATTGTTATTGTTTGTATTCCGGAGGTTTTTTTTTATCATTATGATTTGCCCCAAAAGAGGCAATTTTTTGGGGTAAAGTGTGTTCAATCAGGTTAAGTATGATTGTTGTTGAATAATTACTGTAGTCAGCCGAGGCGTGGTGGGAGATAAAGAGAGAGAGAAAATAAAATATAAAAGGAAAGAGAAAAGATGAAAAATGTCATCTGAATATTCAATGATTAAACCTGAACACAAAGTACTCCCGTGACCCAGAATAATTGATCAAATATTTGTTAATTTTAAAAACAATCACACTGATACATGTATTATCATCATTTTAAATATTCAAACTTTATTTTTATATTTTATCAATATTAAAGTTTAAAATTATTTCACACTAGTATTTGTTTCAAAAGAATAATAATATCAAAGAAGATAAAGGACAATCAGAAAAATTTAAAAATTAACAATGAGAAAACTATTTTCTTTTACAATATGCCGAGTTTTATTAATTATGTGAATGTGAATTATAAAATTTACTTATAATTGCAAAATACAAATATTTCTAAAAGCTTATGTGCATTTATTAAAATATCAATATTTATTATTTAGTACTTGGGGTGGAGTCAGTAGAAAAGGGACACTTGTTAAAAAGATTTTAATAAGAAAAAAAAATATTTTTTCCGATCTAATTTTTAGATCAAAGGGCTCAAAATACAATGCCAACCAAATGATTTTCTTTGATCGAATTCATGACAAATGGGTAAGACGAAGCGCAGGACGTGTCTGATGGAAAATCGGTTGCTAAAATTGAGCCCCTTAATTTTTTGTCATGCCCCATGATCATCCGTTAATTCCATACACACAAATCATTCTTCGCCTTTTTAAGAAGATCTCAATCAGCAGCGGATTAATTTAGAATATAACGATAATTGATTCATTAAATCGAGTTGATGGTTGAACAACTTATTTACCCCAAAAAAATCCAATTTAAAATACAGTAAAGGTATACAGCATAAATTAAAATGGATGACATCATTCATCATCGGCATCTCAATAGATTTTCTGAGAAAAATATGTACCACATTATTGTATTTTGGTATAATATAATTTATACAAAACACAATAAATTACCGAAACTTTTTTTGTGTCCACAATATCAGTAACTGCGTACGTATAAAATAAAAAACAAATATACACGCACACTGTACATGTATTATACTTTATTACTAATATATTCCATATGTTTGCTCTCTCGTTTTTTACCACCACTTGATCCATATCTACCTTTACCAACATTTTTTTACATTATTATCGAATCGTCATTCTCATTTCTCTTCTCCATAAACAAAAACAAAGCACATACGATACGTATTATTGTCCTCTCTTCTTCTATCTTGGACAAATTAGTTGGGTATATTAAATTTTTCCTTTTTAGTTAGGCTAAACAAACTTCACCCAATATCTATCAATCATCCGAATTTCCTTCGTAAATATCAATCATCAAATCTTACGGTGGCAACAAAAATGTCTCGTAATTCCTGGTGGGGCTTGATGTTTAATGAGGATAACAACAGTAACAATACCACAAACCCCACAACAGAAGAGAAGAATCCAGAAGAATTAAGAGATAGTAACCATGATGATACCAATATGAGCTCTAAAGACCAAAAACCACCTTCCACCACCACAAACTATAACAAAGATTCGATAAATGTAATCAAAGAAATAATTTTGGAAGAAGACGAGGAATTATTTTCAGGAGGCGAGGGAAAATCACGACAACGAGAAGGAATCCCAATTCCCACAACAAACAACATCGCGTCTTCAGACATTTCAGAAATCCCGTCCGTAGCTTCGACCTTGGTGGAACAATACTCTCAACCCCAATCACAGCCAAATTCCTTACAACCACAACTAGGATCCCCAGCGATCCCAATACCAAGACAACAAAACCAAAACATGCGACGACACGATGACACAAAAAGAGCCTCTTTAGGGTCGTTTCGCGGCTGGTGGTACCCGAACTCTGCGGCTACGCATAATAGTGTTCCTAGTACTAGTACTAGTGCTAATAACAACAATACCGGTATTACTATTGCTACGACGAACACCAATGCTACGGCAAGTGCGTTTGTGCCTTCGGAGAATTCTTCGGTGTTAAGTGTTTCATTGTTGAAGAATCGGACGGCGAATTCTCTTTCGGGTGGTGATAATGGTGGAAAGAATGATGATGACGATGATGGTGATGATGAATCACAGAAACCTGCACCGAATTCAAATATGAATAATAGTAGACCCCCATCTCTACAAAGGAGTGAATCTCCGGGACTCCCACTCACACCGTTAATGGAAACTTTTGAGGGTATCCCCGAGAAACCATCATCAAATAACAATCATAGTAATAATCATCATAAATCAGAAACCAGATTATCTTCTTCGTCGTCTTCAAGAAATTCGTGGTGGATATTCGGAGGTGGGAATCATTCAAATATCATTAATAATGGTAAGATTTCTTCTAGTATTGCTAGTTCATTTTTGACAATACAACTGATAATTATGAAGTATTAAAAGACACCGTCAATTATTTCAGAGCCAGAATCTCTGCTGTCATCACCCCAAAAAAATCATAAGAGAAAGCAAAGTAATATCGAGGGGAATTTAGTCGAACATAACGAACAATCTCATTCTTCAAATTATAATTCTACAAATAATACTAATATAGAAAATAATAATAATAATGATAATAATACTAATAATAATAATAATAGTAATAATACTACTACTACTAGTAGTAGTAGTAATATTATTAACACTACTACTATTACTACTACTACTACTACTGTTGACGATAACAACAATAATGTTAATAACAACCACGACACAAAAGAAGACGACAAAAATAATCCACAACAAATAGGGAAAAACCAAAAGATAAAATCGGGATCATCAAGCGCTCGCGTAGTCACGAAACGCAAGTCAGCGGAAATGAAAAGATGGTCAATTTTTGGTACATGGTCTGCGTCTACACCTAATCTGCTAGAACCTACAAATGAGGAGGAACCAGAAAATAGCAATAACAATAATACGAGTAGTAATGATAATAATAACAAATCAATAACAAGGTCATCGTCATCATCATCATTACGAAAAACAATGATTGCACATGAATCCATTTCATCTGCGGCGGTGTCGATTTCATCGGGTAATTCTACGTCACCGCCAAATAACGACTCTTCTAAAGACTCGGAAGATAAGCAAAAACAGAAGGAAGAAGATAAACCTACCAGCAAATCGGAAACGAATCCACTGATGGAGGCAACCTCACGTGCTTCTTGGATGTACTTTTTCAAAAATGTTGCAAATAAGCAAACTGTTGAAAAAGGAACCGAAAAGAAAATGATCACAGATGGATCAGAGCAACAAGGCACCACAATAACGACGACAAGTGTAAACGATCAAAAAATTATAGTTGCAGACTCATCTTCAATTTCCTCATTAGACAAGAAAACAGAAACCGTAGTGACCACAACTACGCCAACTCCTCCATCACCAAACCTACAAATCAAACCAGTGCCACGAAACAAAATTCTTCCGTCATTCGAAGAATTTTCACGATTCCGATCAAACAAAAAACCCAATGCATTTATCCAACAAACATTACACACCATCAACTCATACTTCTTCCCGCCTGACAAAGCCCCAGAAAGCGGTCTCCCCAAAATTCTGGACGAATTAACGCGTTCATCAATTGACGTGAAGAAAATAGCGATTATCGGTGTACACGGATGGTTCCCGACAAAGTTTGTACGATCGCTTGTCGGTGAGCCGACCGGTACTTCACCGAAATTCTGTGATATGATGGGAAAAGCTGTTGTCGGATACCTGGCTCGTCATGGTATTAATCTTCCAGATGACGCAGTTACATTAATACCATTGGAAGGAGAAGGAAAGATCGATACGCGAGTTGATATCCTATTCACAAATCTGTTAGTGAATCAATCATGGTGTGCTGCTTTGGCTGCCGCGGATGTGATTTTTGTTGCAACACATTCTCAGGGCACGCCTGTTAGTACAATGCTTCTCTCTCGTCTTATCAGCTTAAATCATATACACCCGAGACGACAACGCATCTGTTTGTTGGCGATGGCTGGAATATCACATGGTCCTTTTCCGTATTTGAAAAGCACTTGGGTGGTGAAATATTTTGAGTCGGATCCTGCACGGGAGTTATTTGAGTTTATGAATTCGGATAGTCTCGTCGGGAAGAAATACCGTGAGGCACTGCGTATTATCACTGCACATGGTGTCAAAGTTGTGTATGTCGCGTCGATGGATGATCAAGTTGTACCGGTATGCATTTCTTTTTCCATAGTAATTGGATATCAAATGTCATTATCAATTATTAATTTGTCAATTAATAAAAACACAAACAGCTCTATTCAGCCGTATTCACTGGCGTCAGTCATCCATCGATACTTCGTGCAGTGTACATCGATGGTCCTATCTACCGAGACAACGACTTTCTCACCAACCTGATTGTCTTTGCTGTTCGACTACGTAATGCTGGCATTCACGATCACGACCTTTTGGTGCACTTGAGTGAAGTGGTTGCCGGTTCGTTGACTGGTGAAGGACATTCGGCTTTATATGAAGAAATTGATGTCTACACGTAAGTGTCTTCTCTTCTCTTAAAAAAAATTCCCTTCTAAAACCAAATCAAATGATTGATTGATTATTATTTTTGGTACACGACAACAAAACAGTTTAGCAGTTCGTTACCTCTTTGAATCAATAACTCCAACCAACGGTATCACCGTACGCCAAAAAACATTCCAAGCACAAAAAAGCTATAACCCATACTACCTCCCGTGGGCGATGCGCGGAATCCTCGACGACAAATACGTCGGCAATTCCGAGTGCTTTACACGCGAGCTTTATCGACTGAGGAAACAGTATGACGAGTGGGAACCCATTTCCAGGACGATGAAGGATATAAAGTTTCGGTTGGAACCGTTGCGTGAGGCAGTAAGTCGGTCTAAATTATGACCTGACTTGACTTCGATAGTAGTTAGTTAGTGTAAAATGTCGTTGATGGATTATTAAAATAAACGCTACTTTTTTGGTAGATTTGTCGTTCTCATCATGAGCATCATCAAGAACAACAGCTACAACAAAGTCACGAAAACAACAACAGCTACGATAACGATAATGGTCAAGCATCTGGTGTCCCTACAATTTGACGAAAGTTGTTATCGTCGCTGTTTTGATTTTTTCTCTATTTCTTGTACATATTTTTAAATTCTAGTTAGTTTCTTATGTGTTTGTATACAAAAGCACGTAGTCATAAGCACACATACAGAGAAAAAAAATGAAAATCTCTATTGTAGTAGTTTAATAGTATCACTTATAAAATCAGAATCAGAGACAATTTTCTTTATAATAATGTAATCGGATTTCTTTTTTTGGTTGTAGTAAAAGCATTTGAACGATCAAAAAAACCATTACACAAGATTTCTTTAGTCTTGTTTGAGACGCGGTTTTTCTGAATTGATTGATTATTTTATTATCAAATTCGTTGATGATAACAAAGAGGATTTATGTATTTGAAAAAGAGGCCATGAACAGAATGTTAATACAGGGGAGTAAAGTGTTTAATATGGGAAAACTGCATCTATTATTCAAGATAACATTACTACTAGCACTATTATTATGTTATAAAACTAATATTGTTTGCTACAAAAAAAAAAGAAAATTGAAATAATACTTTGTAACTCAGACTCTACGAGATAAATTCGTTATTTCAAGAACAGAGTTACATAAAGCAACCAAACCCATATGAACAAACACCATTTGAGAAATCCAATACGAGACAAAATCATCTTGATGCCAACTTCCCACTACACACATAAATTTTCGGAAAATTTGGCGCCCGCCAAAAAATACCAGCGAGAGGATGTAGCAAACACTTCATAAAATAGATAACTTTCCCGATTCCATCTGTTGTTTGATCGAGATAGTACATGGCGAGGTATTGGGAAAAGGATACACTATGTCTGTGTGTTTTCCATAACTCATCGAATAACTCACTTGTGAGTGACTTATCTAATACTCTGGTTATATTACCGGGCGGGAATTTGGGATAGGCATGAAACAGTATATCGGTTAGCGCTAATTTCAAGATAGCCCGTCCGCGACATGTGAACTCTTTGGGATTTTCGCGAGCACGAGTGTATAGTGAATTGTTGTGGATTGTTGGAGGCTGTGATGCACTATATAATGGGTTTTCAACTTCGACCTGATTTGCGAGATAATCTGATGATGCAAGATTGAACTTTGTGACATCAGCCTGATGATCTGATGATGCAAGGTTCAACTTTGTGACATCAGCCTTATTAGCGCGATTATATATTCTCTCTGATCGCCGGGTTCCTACACGGTCAATTGTCCATCCTAAGGTTCTTGTCTCGCTCGATTGCGTGCTCGCCCATTCTGCGGCCACGTTCGATTGCGCGATTGTCCATTCTAAGATTCTTTTCTCGTTCAATTGCGAGTCACCTTTTTTGTAAATTGTAGAAAGTGATTAAAATTTTTACAAATAACATAAAAATTCTTGATCAATAAATATTATTACCATTCCTAGAATTTTCGTTTTTACGTCGTCTTTCATCTAATAATAAAATAATTTTGTTTAAATATCATTAAGGCAACATAATAAGAGAAACGATTCGTTACCTCCACTTAAATCGGCGAAAAGTTGTCGCCGATCCTTTCTTTTTCTTCTATGCCAATTTTCACGGTTAAGATTAGAATTCTCTTCTTGATCAGAATTGTCGTTTTCACTTTTAGTTAGCTCGATCATTTGGAATAGTTCGTCCTGTTGAAATTCATTTATGTAAATTAGGGGTTACAATGGACTTATATAATACACCAGAGTTAGATAAAATGTATGATGTAATTTAAAAGTAATTACCGATTCTTGAGTATTTTTTGGATTTTGAGGATTTGACTTATCTTTTTTAGTGTCATCCCATCTGCTCTTCCGCTTTCTGCCAATACAAATAGCAGTGCCGGCATTATTCTGCTGCGGATGTTGTTGTGTTTCATTAGCATTGTCATTGCCATTAATAACACTGAAATTATTATTGCCATTACCAGTCATCATCATCATATTATTATTCGACAATGACGATGGGCCTGGTTCAACTGGCAAATTTTGTTTATCGAAAACAGATTCATTAACAATTTCATTATTATTCGCCATACGAACATCACCGTTGTCGTAAGGCTTTGAAGATGACGATGATGACATTTGTGTTTGATGATGATCATCATCGTCAGAATCATCGATAATTATAATTTCAGGATGAGTAGTAGTGGCAGGAGTAGTACTAGTAGCAGCAGTAGTAGTAGCAGCAGTAGCAGCCGTAGTAGTAACAGTACTAGTAGCAGTACTAGTAGCAACAGTAGCGTTATTATTATTATTACTGGCATTTGTTTCGCAACTAGACGAGGCTTTCAACCCTTTTGTGGAGGGTGAAATTTCCTCCACATCACTCATATCAGAAGAGGTGGGGACGGGTGCAATGGTTTGATTGCCCTTCCACATTCTGATATCTTGAATGATTTGGTCCCTCACCACATTAGCGTCAAGTTTGTCAAAATCATTAATAATACTTCTTGACGCTTGACTAGGTTGAGTTGCATCAATAATACCAGTTTGTTCGGTATGTTGTTCCATCTATTGTTACTGACGTATAATAGATTGTTCGAACAAATGCAAAACTCGCTTCGTTCTACTCAGCCTGTCAAAATAAGAAGGGTTAGTAAACCTTCGCCTTCTGAATTTTACCTTGAACAGGAAGTAGAATCGTTTTTTCACACGGTTTTATGTTAAGCCATATTTCATAATAAAATTCAAGGTCATATGACCTCGATTTTCAAGATCATTGGCGTAACAGCCACGTGCATTAATTATATTTAAATGCTAGAAAAGTAAAGTAGAATCTCAAAACATCAAATGGGTGATATTGCGCGTCTTTGTCGCTTCATTATACGCGATGATTTCGGAGACATTGTGGCGGTACCGTTTCACAATACCTTCTTTTCTTTTTTGTGACAGGAATTAAAAATGGATTTCTACAATTATTGTCGTTAAAGAAAGTAGCAAAAGTATTGTTAGAAAAGGGACGACTCTCATTCCTTTCAATTCGTCGCTTCACAAAGCTCGATGTCAAGAGTATTAAAGAAAATCTCGTGATTCTCATGCAACACAATATGGTGTACTATGCTGAAATAACGGAGAACAACCGAACTATTGTGTATTATCATCTTGATATGCGAGAGGTGCTTGCTAGACAGAGAATTGGGCTATACTTGTGGCATTCGAAGAATTTGCATAATGTTGAGTTGGTATGTAACGTAGCTTTCAATAATACTATTGATGATATGCTGTGCTTTGTGTTATTTGAATATTGATGTAGCAATCAATAGGCACCCGCAATTATTTATTATATACTATTGAATGGAAAGGGAACATTAAAGGGAGTTCTGAGTCATTATTTTTATGAAAAAGACGCGGAGGGACCGGATTCGACAAAAAGTTGGTGGATTAATTGGAATTTAATTATTACTTGATTTCAATTCTTTAATCGATTTATCATCCATATACTTTTGGGTCGCTCTTATTGATGACACAGATAAAACAATCATAAAAAGATCTTTCGAAAAATTAATAAGAGAACACTATCTGCTTCCTGTATTCCGTGAAGACACCATATCAGCATTGGATAAGAGAAACGAACAAGAGCAGAAAGCGTTGATTGAACGGCAACTTATTCTACCGACGAAGAAAGAAATGTCAGATATCAGATCCAAAATCGATAGTGATATCCGAAATGCCGATAAAGCAGCTCAGAGTTTGGTAAATTTTCGAATGAATTATTGAATTAATTGGTTCATTTTTTATTTGTATTTTTTCTCCGTATATTATAGAAACGAAAAGCTGATGATAATTTAGAGTCCTCGGATTCTAACAAGGTTTGTGCGCTACTATTATTTTTTAACATTTTAATGGTCAATTTTTCTGATTTCATTTTTCTATCACCTTAAAATAATAGATGCTAAAAACCGATGAAACTGTTGATGTAGGTTAGGCATTTCATTCATAATAAAAGTGATAAATAACATCGTCACCTTGATTTAATCAATCTAATTCATATTGATCAGGAAAACACCTATTACAGGGTGAATTACGAAAGATTTAATATTCGATCAAGGAATGCTGTATGTTTTTTGGCATGATTTATGTAAAGCGTTAGCTCTTAGGAAGTAATTTAATTGATTTTTATTTACAGCAAATAGCCGCATTTGCTGGAGAACGCATTAACGAATCTGCGAAATGCGTAATGAGAAGAATTCTTGAGATAGCAGATGACCCAAATTCAAAAATAGAGGCTGCCGAGTCCGGTGACTATTTATTTTCAATATAATCTTTTTATCGTGTTGCTCCTACTTTCTTCACGATCTTGTTAGTAATATTTCTAAAAATAGGACAGCTATCCAAAACAACAATCACCAAAAAAATACCACAAAGTGCACGGATTGGCGACTACATTGTCTTTGACGGCATCTCCAGAAACCCGTCCCACGAATACATCGTTGACCAGTACCTCCAATTGCTAACAGAAGACGAAGCGAAATTCATTCGCAGAAAGGATTCCACCGCGTCGTATTCTGTAAGGTATAAGGAACTTTGTCAGAAGATGAAGCAGCGAAAGTTGGAAACTTTCTTGCAGGAGAAATATGGGAGTGAGAGTGTGCGGATATTGAGGATATTGACGACTAAAGGGAAGTTGGATGAGAAAAATGTGGGTTTATTTTTTATTTAATGTTTTCTCTCGAGCGTTTGGCACCGTTGTGTTGAGGATAATAATGATGTGGGTTTTCGCTCTTTTCTGTGCAAAGATTGCAAGTTTTGCGTTGATGGGACAACCTGAAACCAGGAAATTAGTCGACCAATTATTTGTTGGCGGATTTGTCGAATTACAAGTAATTTACTGCTTTTCTTTTTTCTTGAAGAATTCATCTCCTTTAAACTATTTTGCTAAACAACACTCATAAAAAACAAATACAGGAAGTACCGAAAGTAGCCGAACGCACACCTTCACGAACATTCTACCTCTGGTACGTCGACCTCAACAAATGCTACCAACGAATGATATCCGACGTGTATCGCACTCTCGGGAATATCCACGAACGTCGGCTGTACGAGACTGCCGTGCGTAATGGTCTAATAGAGAAAAAAGAACGGGCGGAAGAAATGCGGAACCCCGATTTACTTAGTGATGCGGATAAAGACGCGTTGTATGTGTTTAATGGATTGTTGAACAAACTTGATCTAGCAGAGTTGAGGCTTGTCGAGTTAGAGATGTTGATGTCGGATTTTGTGTAGTGCTTCAGATTTAAGTTTCGGTTAAGTCAAGTAAGCAGTTGAAGAAAACTTTTTTATTTTTTGTTGCCTTAGTACTCAGGTATGTAAGAAAAAACTTAAATTGAAAACCTCTCTTAGTCGAAGTTAGAGAGTCTAACACCAAGCTAGTCGACTTAAAGAGATTTACTATGTATATAGAAAACAGAATTCATACATAGGCAGAGATTATTTCTATATAGAAAATAATTGCTATAATGTAAAATAATTGAATTTTAGTCTAATATTTACTTATGGTTAATCTTTATAGTAATAAACATAGTAAATAAAATGGTCGTTTGCAAAATTTTCGTCGAAGGTAACAACGACGTTATTGTAAATTCATGTAATGTAATCCTGTATATAAAGTAAATTTTAGAAAGATGAATAATATGTAGATACAATGCCAAGGATAAACCCATTATCTTTCTTCAGGTTCTGGATTAGATCCGCAATCCTTATTGCAGGTTCACGAGGTAATCTTTCTTATTGACTGGAAACTTCTTGATCCTCAATGAATTTAACATAGTTAACCAAACCAAGGTGGATTCTTGTTTTACTGTCTTCTTCTGGTGGTTATGTGATAGTGATAAGATACGGTTGATTCATATGTTGATTCATATGTTGCTTCAACCACAATTACAGTATTCTCCTTGTGTATTTCAAGACCATCTCTTTCGAATGCCACAAGGCTTGTCATCATGTAAACCTTGCATGCCCCGAACAGAGATATTGTTCCCCATGCAAGCATCGCATGCTGAACAGCGCACTTCCAAACAGGAACATGACTCACATTGTCTGGTTGCAGAACAGCGCATGCAAAACAGCACATTTCCCCCGTGGATCAGGGGATTGATGGTGTCTTCCGCGTGATCGTGATCTACTCTGGCAAACAGAGGTATGCCGAACAGCACACTTCCGGCATGACTTGATATTTGTTAACTAAATTTCTTCAATTCGTCGGGGGTAAAAGACCTTTCTGATCATCAGATCATTTAGATTTATTATAAATAGTGTAATAAGCTATTGCAATATCAAAGCAAATTAGGTTATAAAGTATCAACTGTTCTTTGGTACAAACAATCTACAACACGTCCTGTACATGAAAGCTGGCGAAGACTCGTTCCTAAAATCAGAAGTTTTATAACATTGTCTTTTTTCTATTGGTTTACCCATCTGAAGTTTTTTATGCCGTTGGTCTTTTAAGAATTTCAAGTGCTTTTTCCGTCACATCTATGAGGCCTCCATAAGTTTGTAAATCTTCATTTTCAGTAATCACAAATTTTGGTATTGGAAAGTTATCGTTATTCAAAACAGATTTAGAGGCACCATCAGTTTGAAATGAGTCATAATTGACATAATAGCAATCAATCCAAAAAGTTTCTGGTTATGTGATTCAGATCCCGACCATCGCTTTCTTGCTTATAAAACAATCTTTTGTGTTGTTCCTTGCCATATAATCCTAATCTGGGGATGTCGGACGGTTGGTGTCGTGATTGGAATTAGAGGTTAGAACCGGTTATCGGAATCGGATTTATAACCGGGGTTTAATGAAAATTTTTCAAATAATGGTAAGGATATGGATTTTGTATTTCAAAAAAATGTGGAGAAAATAATATAACTGATTAATCAGTTGAAACCAAATTCATATAACCGATTAATCAGTTGAAACTGAATTAATATAACTGGTTTATTGTTTAAAACCAGTTTTAATATATAACTGATTTATAACCAGTTGCAATTTTCAAGCTGTTATTAAAATCAGTTTGTAAAATTATAACTGGTTCCAATCTCTAATTGGAATCACATGACCTGACACTTTTTTGCTGTAATTAGGATGTTTTTCTCAGATATTTTACATCACTTCTTCAAATGCATCAATCTCACTAATAGAAATTTTTGCTTGTTTCCTGAATTGAATTTTTCAAATTCTTAAAGATGATTGTTAAATTATCAATCTGTTATTATTGTTGATTGAATATTTTTTTAGCCTTTAAAAACATGTTTTGAATTTCTAATTTCTGTTTAAGTTATCTAATTTAAAAATTTTATAAGCAAATATTATCATTATCAAAATAATATCATTAATTATTATTTATAATGAAATTTTTTCTAATATTATAATATTCAAAATTCTAATAGTTCATAATTTCAACAATCAAAATTCTGAATGATACAAAATTTTAATAATTCAAAATTCTGATAATTCAAGATTCCAAAAGATACAAAATTCTGAATTCTAATAGTTCAAGATTCTAAATAATACAAAATTCTGATAATTTAAAATTTTAATATTCAAGATTTTGATAGTTCAAGATTCTGAAATTCAAAATTCTGATATTTAAAATTCCAAAATTCAAAATTCTGACAATTGATAATTTAAAAATTCAAAATCTCAAATAATTCAAGATTCTAATAGTTTTGAATTATTAATCAAATAAATAATATTTTTTACTAATTGTAAAATTAACTAATAAATATGAACAAGAGTTAGAAAGAGAATTAAACAAATATAAAAATAATAAAAAAAATATATCTAAGTTTTATATCAATTTTTATTGAAATTATATAGTATTACCGTAGTAACATAAATTTTCCTAATTCAATAATCTTTCTTTGATTATACGAAATCTCCTTTTTTACAACTTATTATCTGATTATTATTATTTTTATCCAGTCATATAATTATCTCACTTTTATTTTATTACCCTAAATCTTATATTTATATCTTAAATATCATATTTATTTTCTTTTTCTTATTTTTATATACTTTTATCACTCTAAATCTGAGATTTACAATTTTGATCACAAATATCCTACATTAATATTAATATTTCACATATATAACTATATTTAATAATACTGTATAGATTAATTAGTTAATATTGTTGTATAATGACCTTTCGTCATAATATTTTATTATTGAATTATAAATATCTCATATATTATTGGATAAAGA